AGAGAAATGAATGTGAAGCCTTGTTGTCTGCTGTGAGGGCAGTGCTTACAGCGCACTGCCGTGCCTGCCCAAAGGATAAATTGTGGGCAAGCCAGCTTGACAAAGTCAAAGTCGCTGAAGCCACCCAAAAGTTCTGATCTTGGGTTTGCTTAAGATTTTGGAAATGCAAAAATTGTATGTATATATATATACAGACATTATTTTCATTTTTTGTTTCAAAAAAAGAGACACGTTGTATACAGAGGATCCTGGAGCAAACCTGGGTGAATGGCCAGCAACATTGACCCATACCCGTACCATAGCTAGATTCAGCATCGGTCCACATGTCATCACTGGAGAAGGGCAGGGTGTTCTAAGAGTAGGGCCACCCTTGTAGTACAACCCAAACACATAGGGGTAGATATACACTTAGAACACTTGGTTGAATTTCCAATCAAAGAGAACCTGCAGTTTGAACACCGCCCAATGTGTCTATCATATGCAGATGTGTTTCTTCTATCATATAGGTTTTCTGGTTTTCTTTCGTACTGTGTCCCAGTGATACTTGCAACGACATGGTGTAGACCCAGATGATGCAGAAATATCCACAGATCCATTTAAATTCATATGATCAAAGACCAAAACATGGCTAAGACTGTGTTTGCATGTCCGTTCCATCAGCACGCAAAAAGAAGAGGTATGCAGTTTGTGCAAGAGATGTACCAGGGTTGCAGGGTTTCTGTATGAATCCTTTACTATATAAAATACACATATATATATATATTTCCTAATATTTTGCAAAATGATATATTTACATGCAGGGGCCTACACTTAGAACACATGTTAGAAAAATAAGATGTGTTCTAACACGTTTCTGATGATGTTCTAAGTGGCTCACTTAGAACATGTTCTAAGCCTTCACTTAGAACAGTTGGGGCGAATTTCTCCCGCAGCAAAACGGTGTTCTAAGTGTATGAAAAAAATTGGAAAACACTTTGTGTTCTAAGTGTATGTCCTTAACTATACACACAAAAACTTTTACACACAAACGCTTTTACACATGGTGCTTTTACACAAACACACTTTGACACACAGACGCTTTGACACACAAAAGCCTTTACACACAAACGCTTTTACACACAGACGCTTTTACACACAGACACTTTTACACACAAAAGCTTTTACACACAGACGGTTTTACACACGGACGCTTTTACACACAGACGCTTTTACACGCAGATGCTTTTTACACACGCACACACGCTTTCACACACAAACGCTTATACACACAGACGCTTTTACACACAGACACTTTTACACAAACGAAAGCGTCCACCGCAATTTTTCCTCAGTTTTTGACGTCCAACGTCCATTTCGTGCGAAAGGGTTACGATTGACCAAGTAAAATCGCAATTTTTCCTCAATTTTTGACGTCCAACGACCATTTCGCGCGTAAAGGTTGCGATTGACCAAGTAAAATCGCATTTTTTCCTCAGTTTTTGACGTCCAACGTCCATTTCGTGCGTAAAGGTTGCGATTGACCAAGTAAAATCGCATTTTTTCCTCAGTTTTTGACGTCCAACGTCCATTTCGTGCGAAAGGGTTGCGCGCGACGGATAAAAGTCGCAATTTTTCCTCAGTTTTTGACGTCCAACGTCCATTTCGTGTGTAAGGGTTGCGATTGACTAAGTAAAGTCGCAATTTTTCCTCAGTTTTTGACGTCCAACGTCCATTTCGTGCGAAAGGGTTGCGCGCGACGGATAAAAGTCGCAATTTTTTCAAAGTTTTTGACGTCCAACGTCCATTTCGTGCGAAAGGGTTGCGCGCGACGGATAAAAGTCGCAATTTTTTTTTTCAGTTTTTGACGTCCAACGTCCATTTCGTGCGACAGGGTTGCGCGCGACGGATAAAGGTCGCAAAATTTTCAGTTTTTGACATCCAACGTCCATTTTGTGCGAAAGGGTTGCGCGGGGCACATCAAAGCGCAATTTTTCCCCAGTTTTTGACATCCAACGTCCATTTCGTGCGAAAGGGTTGCGCGCGACGGATAAAAGTCGCAATTTTTCCTCAGTTTTTGACGTCCAACGTCGTGGCGCTCCGGCGGCACCGCCCCCGCCTTAAGAGAGAATAGAAGAAGAGCGAGAGGAGATCTGCAGATGTGAGGTGTGAAGATCTAGATCTGCAGGTGTGAGGGTGTGAAGATCTAGATCTGCAGATGTGAGGGTGTGAAGATCTAGATCTGCAGATGTGAGGGTGTGAAGATGTAGATCTGCAGATGTGAGGGTGTGAAGATCTAGATCTGCAGGCTGTGAGGGTGTGAAGATCTAGATCTGCAGGTGTGAGGGTGTGAAGATGTAGATCTGCAGATGTGAGGGTGTGAAGATGTGAGGGTGTGAAGATGTAGATCTGCAGATGTGAGGGTGTGAAGATCTAGATCTGCAGATGTGAGGGTGTGAAGATCAGATCTGCAGATGTGAGGGTGTGAAGATCTAGATCTGCAGGTGTGAGGGTGTGAAGATCCAGATCTCCAGGTGTGAGGGTGTGAAGATGTAGATCTGCAGATATGAGGGTGTGAAGATGTAGATCAGCACATGTGAGGGTGTGAAGATGTAGATCTGCAGATGTGAGGGTGTGAAGATGTGAAGGTGTGAAGATCTAGATCTGCAGGTGTGAGGGCGTGAAGAAGATCTGCAGATGTGAAGGTGTGAAGATGTAGATCAGCAGATGTGAAGGTGTGAAGATGTAGTATAACGGCTGCTTTTTTACGAAGAACCCTTCGCAGGCGCTCTCGGGAAAAATGTTTGGCGGAAAAAACGGTTTCCGCAGCGGGAAAAACCAGCAAAAAATGTCGCTTCGCACCGGGAAAAATTCAAAGCAGGAGAAAAAACACCTTGCAGCAGCTGAAAAACACCTTGGCAGCAGAAAAAATGCATTCTGGAGACAGTGGGAAAAATCCTCCGAGGCAGGAAAAAATCTGTCCAAGGCAAGAAAAAACCGGCCGAGGCAAGAAAAATTGCAGAACGGAACAAATACATTTCCGCAACGTGAAAAAAGAGCAGCCCTTTTGTGCGCAAACTCGCACGAAACGGTCAGCAAACGCTGACTTGACTCTTTATAGCGTTATGCTCTCATGTGTAGCGATGTTTTTTGGGCTCTGCTTTGCCCATTGGCATGTTACATCGAGGTTTTTTCCCCTTTGCAGGAGGGTTTTTCCTTGATGAATTGTGCACTCACTAGATTCCATGTCAACCCGAAACAGTTGTCCTTGCAAGAAGATCTCGTGGAGATCCTGGTGAAGTCCTCTTTAAGAGGTCGTTGCGTAGTTTTGTATAGATCCTTCTAAGAGGATATTGATGAAGTTGTGTCTGCGAGGTTCTTGCATGATGTTGAACAGGTCCGTTTCCAAGAGGTCCTTGCATGATTTTGCACAGATCCTTATCTGAAGACCTTGTGGAGATCCGAGTGAAATTTCTGTCTTGTACAGAGGTCCTTCTAAGAAGATGTTGTGGAGATCCTGCTGAAGTCATCTAAGAGGTCTTTGCATGATTTTGTCTATTCCCTGTGAGAAGATCCTGTGGAGATCCTACTAAAATGCTGTCTTGCATGATCTTGCACAGGCCTTTGTGGGAAGATCTCGACGTAAAATCCTGTGGGGGTACAGGTCCTTGTGAGAAGATTTTGTGAAGATCCTGCTGAGAGGCCTTGCGTGAAGATCTTGAAGATGCTTTGCATGGTCCTGTACAGGGCCCTAAAAGAAGGTTATTCTGGAGATCCTGGTGGAACCCTCTCTAACAGGCAGGTCCTTGCGTGAAGATCTTGCAGATGCCATTTCTTACACTTGCTTGTGTGAAAACTTTTGTGGGAGGCTCGTTTTTTGTCTCAAGATCTTGTTAGCTGCTCAGGAGGCAGCAGGTTTTTATGACGATCTTGTGAGCCTTGTATGAAGATCTTGTGAGCTCCTCCAAATAGATCACATAGAAGGTCCTGCTGCTGCGTTGCCATGATGTCTAACCTCAACTCATCTGTTGCTGCTTCATAGCTACTGTTGCTTGTATCTGTTACATTGACGTCCTACCCCCGCACACTGTTTGAGGTCTCTTGCCGGGATAATATTTTTTAGAAATAGGGTGTGGGACCATTATCAAACAATTTAACATGAAAAACTGAAAATAAAACATATTGGTTTCAACTTGGAGTTTCAGCCAAACCGGATAAATTATCTCCATGGGACATCAGAAATTATGGACGAAATGGACCCTAAGACTCCTTCATACCCCCCCCAGCTGAGACTGTATTGGTTCATTCGATGACATCAACTCAATCATGCCTCGGCATAGGTGCGGGCCAATTTTTCGGAAATGCGCGGTGGGTTGATAAGAGTCTCATTCCTTGGATATCAGTACCGGTTTTCATGTTAAGTGCATGTCATGTGGATTCCTTTTTCAGTTGGATGATATTTCAAACCTTCGTTTCTCATGTGCTGATGCGCCAATGCATGGATAATCTATTGTAGGGGTTTGGTTCCAAATCAAAGGGGCGCTACACCAAACAGTGTCGGTGTATGTTTACATCGCCGCCAGCATGCGGGAGAATACCATGGTCAGAATTTGATGCAGAATAAAAACAAGGACCACCACTGCAACGTTTTTGTGGGTATGAATGCGCAGTGTGTCGATGCGGACGTGGTTTTGCCGAGTTTTGCTTGTGTGAAGAACACGGTTTATGTTGAGATTCGATCATTGGTTCCAGGAAATAAGTCGTGTAGTCTCAAACCCATCCATGTTATTAGCAGTGCATGCAACTGCACAGATGTGGCCAGAGTTAAATGTGGTGATGTTTGAATGCATATGTCGTATTTTGTTTTTGTTTTGCCACAATCATGAAAAGGTTGTTACAGGTTCAAACAGCAGTGTCCCCTATGTAGGTTTGGGATTGACAGCAACAAATGAAATCATGAAACAAAACACCGCGGATTAATGTGTGGGGTTTGTTTGGGGTGCGCACAGTTCGCGCCATGAGTGAGGCTTTGTGGTGCACCATTCATGATATCATGGCGTGGCCTCGCTTTGGGCATTGGGGGGGCGTGTGCGCAACCAGAAATTTTTGCACCGCTTGTGGAAGAACTTGGAAAAGGCATGGCCCAAGAATTGAATCTTGGACCTTGATTGTTTTTGCGGCATTTTTACGAACTCGTGTGATCAAATGTGGAACCAGAACTTGCATTTCGTAAATTCCCGAGTTGAAAACCATTGTTTTTGTTTTGCATGTGTTTGAACACTTGGAAATTGATAGGTCATGAATACGTGTATTCTCACCATCGTTTGGATTCTACACATACCGTTGTTGAAGTGTATGTGATTCAATTGATGTTTGACCATCAGAACCTCAATTTGTTTTCCCGTCGTTCAGGTGAACTGGCCAGGAATACATGGGCTAAAATTCACAACGATCGTGTAGTCGTTGAACCATGGAAATACAAACTGTTTTTTTGGTAACAGTCCTTTATCCATTGGGTCATTCACATATGGTATGCAATGAACAGTGACCACATGTGAATGTTTTTTCTTGACAACAACGATCTGAAACAATGTAGGTCCAAAGTGTTGACTTTGGTCAGGAAGGGTCGCCTGGCAGATGTGCTCCGGTACCACTGGCGGAGTAAACATTTCTTGGACGTCCAAGCGACACTTCCTGAGACCCTGGACGTGGGAAGGGGCAGATTGGGGTCAGGGTTTGGTGATTGGAAAATGCTTTGAAATTATATACGGAAACCATCAGCAAAAACATTATTTCCAAAAAAAATCATAGTTGAAGTGCAAAAACCATCGATTCTCGGTTTCCTGAACCCATTCAACTTGATGCAACACTTTGGAAATTGACACGAACAAATGGTAATCATTTGAACTGATCAATTTGGACATCATGCCAAGTTACAACCCACCAAATCTATCCAAATCTGCCTGCCCGAACGAACCCGAAATCATATCATGAGTTTCGATTTCGTCATAGTTCGGAACTCAAACCATTCGTAAATTGCAAATTGTTTTTGTTGTCCCATGCAGGACTGGTCCACTTAGCCCTCTCCGTGGCGTAGCTATTTGGGTGCGCCAGCAGTGCGTCTGCCCACCGCGTTGCCAGATGCTGTGTCAGCCGACAGCGTTTTCTGGCGCCTAAGGGCAGGGCATTGTGTGTTTTTTGGGTCGGTTGGTGGGGCCTGCCAAGTCCTGCATTTTTGGTGATAGAACAAATGAAAATGAAAACGATGATGATGATGATGGTGATGATGATGATGATGATGAGGATGAGGGTGAGGACAAGGACAAGGACAACTGTTCATCTTGGGCTGAGGTGCCTTTGTCGTTGAATTCTTTGGGCAGTTTCTTGCGTTTGGGTGCTGGCATTTCTGCTTGGAAGAGCTACGATGGGGTTCATGCGCCACATGTCCAGACACAGGGTGGATTGGGTAAACAAGACAAAATGGACCGCAATTGCATGGAAAAATGTGATGCGCAAACATCTTAGGCACACCAAGGGTACAAGGAATTTGTCCTTCTTAAGGGAAACAAACTTTTAGGGTTGGGTTTTATTTTTCAGATCATAGCATCATGGCATTCGGCGATTGAGCAGATGTGAGTGCTTCATTCAAAGAAAATACTTTATAGACTTGAAAGCAGGCGACGTGGCAGTGAATAGCAAAAAACACACCTGACCTGTACAGTTTCACCTGAAAATGATGGCCTGGGAAATAATTCAAATCTATAACTCTACTCTACCATTTTAGCGTCCGGTTCGATTCGATTACTTTATTTTTCAACAAACACCAAAATCTGTTGGAAACCAAACGATATCCAAGGCACACTTGTGTTTGACTGGCCTGGTGCCCTGGTGTGGCCCTGGTGTGGCCTTGTGATGAGGTGGGCTTTACGTGTTGCGCCCTCCTCGGGTAACCTGCAGACGACAGAAGTGCACTTGGTGTTGCCCCCACTGGAAGGGCTGGCCCCTGTGACGGCTGCGCCACTGGGCTTCAACGGCACAGAATGTTTTTTTTTGCTCATAGAGATGCGCGGATTTCACCACAAGGGGATTTGACAAGCACTGGAAAATTGGAACCAACTGCACAATTTCAATGCATTCAATGTCCGAAATTGAGATGTTAGGGCCATCTCCAATTGGGGGAACTGAACGTGAGGTATCACTATCAGCCAGAGATGCATCACTTGGAGCTCCGCCTAGAAGCTCCTCAGGAGTAGCTGGGTGGTTTGCTCCGCGGGATAGCTGTGCCCCAACAAAGACGTGGAAGGCTCCAAAGTTAGGAGCCGCAACAGACCAACAAATTTCATCTTGAGAATTAGTAAGGGCAGCAAAGGGTCAAAATTTGGCGGGCTGGTCATTTTCGAGTCTTCAACAAAAAGCATTCCGTTCTTTTCACGAAAGCTAGCGTCAGCTAGCTGGAGTCTTCTTGCTTTAGCAAGTATTGGGGGGGCTGCTCAAGGACATCACGTGATTTTTCACGCGAAAGGGGCCCCCCCCCTCCCCCACCACCACCACCATCACCACCATCACCACCATCACCATCATCATCATCATCATCATCATCATCGTTATCATCATCGTCATCATCATCGTCACCGTCATCGTCATCGTCCTCTCCATCGTCCTCGTCCTCGTCATCATCATCATCATCATCATCATCATCCTCGTCGTCATCATCATCATCATCATCGTCATCGTCCTCGTCATCGTCATCGTCATCGTCATCATCATCATCGTCATCATCATCATCATCCTCGTCATCATCATCATCATCATCATCATCATCATTCATCATTCATCATTCATCATTCATCATTCATCATTCATCATTCATCATTCATCATTCATCATTCATCATCATCATTCATCATCATCATCATCATCATCATCATCATCGTTATTCAATTACATTTTATCATTATTGGCAATTATTGTCATTATCACGAAAGCTAGCGTCAGCTCGCTAGAGTCTTCTTGCTTTAGCACGTATTCCGGGGCTCCCCAAGGACATCACGTGATTTTTCCCGCGAAAGGGCCCCCCCTGCCCCCTCCCCCATATATATCATTGTTATATATCATATATCAATATATCATTGTTGCATCCTCGTTGGGACGAACAATGCCGCGACACGATGATGACAGTCCCTCCGCAACTCACCTCTTCCCTTCCTTCTTTCTCCTACCCCGCTAGCTTTCGTCATCCACCCCCGGCCTCAAGTTCGGATACAGATCTGACAGGTGCCCAATGACCCAAACTGCAAACCCTTTCACCATGACAGAAAACTGAGGTACTCAGGTGCCCAAATCCCAAATCACTACGAGAATCCCACCATTTTTGGGCATAATTTGAATTTCTAGGTCCCGTAGAGGGTTGGTTCATGCTTCGAAAGGAACAGAGTTAAGTCCATTACGAGCCGTAAGTTCAAACTACATGTGACAATAAGACTTCTCTTTGCTGCATGTACTGCATGTACTAGTATTCTGGCTGTCCAATTGCCCGAGCAGGACAGTGTCATAGTGTTTTGGGATTTTGTCGGTTTTCTTCCGCAATTTCTGCCTCCAGCCGTTTGGGGAGAAAGCACCAAACCAAGATTTGTATGTTTTTTATTTATCAGATTCAAAGAATCCAACATGCCCAAGGGATCCCAAGGGCACGTTGCAATCGTTGCAGATCCTTAGGTTGGTGGGCGGACACCAATCCTCAGCCTCCGGCTTTCTGGTCATCCTCAGTAGCCTTTGCGTCAGAGAGGCATGGAAATATGGAGAAAGAGCTTTGAGGTCGGGCTGGGCCAAACTCTCAGAAATGGCACATTTTGCGGGAGAACTAAGGGAACAAACCCTACATTTCATGGGAAAAATGAAGATTATTTCTTGGAGATATAGATATGAGTGAACAATTTTGAAACCAACCCAGGGACAAAGTATCCTGAAACCGATCGAGTAGAATCTGCATGGTTTTTGCTGTCGAACGGTTGCATGTTGGTTCTGACTCATAATTCCCATTCACCAGACTTGAGACCATGTTTGATGGTTTTCCCAAACATATACATACATATATATATATATACATATTGTATATATATATATATATTATATCATATATATATATAGATTATATCATATATATATATATTATCATATATATACATATTATATCACATATATATATTATATATATATATATGTATGCCCTGCCAGTATCAAGGGATTACCAAAAGCATCAGGTTTTCGATCTCTCACCTTGGAAAGGCCGCTCCGTGGTTCGCCCTGAGGTCTTGCCACCTCAATCTGGGGCACATGCTGCAAGCGTTGTCGGTCTCTTGCGAGCTTCATGGCTGGATCATGGAGGAAGGCGGGATCCGACAAGTTTTTCTAGGACCATTTCCAAGTTTGGTTGGCGAATGAGCACTGTAGCCCATTGTTGGATATTCTTGGCATAGGAGATGTAGTTCTCTCTCCCGGTTTTTGGCAATGAAATCAACCATTGATGGTTGACGATCGGCCCGTTCACCGGGTTGCCGCAGCTTCGGGTGCCTTGATCCTGGACCCGGTGCTGCGGCGCATCCTCGACGTCCAAGACGAGACGCCCGAGCTGGCGCTGTGGGTCACCACCGGCAGCGAAGGGTCGGTGCCGGCTATGGCCTGGGCGGAGGAGTTGATGGCCGTCTATCAGCAGGTGGGCTGATGGGCTGATGGGCTGATGATGGTTGGATTTTTTTGGATGGTTTTGGATGATTTATATAGTTGGATGTAGATTTATTTAGTTTGGTGATACAAAGTTGTGATCTTCGTTTTTAGTTGCTGGAGGTCATCCCCACTGCCGCACTTGACCGTCCCTTGGGGTCTGTCAGGCACACTTGAAGAGTCTGGGCGATACTTGGTTGCAAAGTTTTGTAGAGCCCTCTTTTCTTCGACATCAACTTTTCGAATTTCACGGAACACGGACAACGATTCTTCTCATCAAACCTCTTCACCATGAAGGTCAAGAGTTTTTCCCAAAGCAAGTTTGCGGTGATTACGATAAACATATAGACACACAACATATGTGCATATATATATATATGTATATATATGTATGTACAATATATATATATATGTACAATATATTTAAATATATACAATATATATATATGCATATATATATATATTGTATATATATATACAATATATATATACAATATATTGGCACTATTTTTATATACAATACATATATGTATATATACACTATATATAAGATTCATATACAATATATATATATACACACTATATATATACTGTATGTATATCTATACAATATAAATAATATACAATATATATAATATACACAATATATATACACTATATATATAACCAATGATATACAATATATATATATATATACAATGTTATACAATACATATACAATATATATATACACTATATATATACAATATATAAATACTCAATATATATATATATATAATATACAATATATATATATATATATAAATGTATATACAATAGATATATATATATTTATACTCAATATATATATATCTATGTAATATGCAATATATATATAATATGTATATAAACACTATACATACAATATATATGTATGATATATATATATATACATATATATATAGATGCAATATATATATAAAAACAATATATACACCATACATATATATATATATACATATATATATATACATATATATATATACATATATATATATATTACAATATATATACATACATATACACTATATATATATACACATACATGCGCATGTACACATTTGCAAGCAGCAACATTTCTGGATCCCAAATGCCGTTCTTCATTCACCAAGCTCTGTGTGAACGTTCCCAGGATCCATCGCCTTTGAGCGCCACACCAGGGACCATCTACCCAGCATGGCCTGTCATGGATGCAGCGCAAGAGGCTCTGAAACTTCAACGGGAAGATCTAGCCTTGCTGGATGGGGCGGGGGCTGAGGCCTGTGGATGGGATGGGTCAGAACTGGAGACCAAAGATGGGAGGATTGGTCCAATACTCAGTATGAGGGTCCCAGAGGTCCAAGAGGACCTTGATCTTTTTGGGAAAACTGTCAAAAGGCTGGAAGGAATCTCTGCGACATAGCTATCCAAACTGTGCCCGAAAGTCAGGTCCCGATTAACCACTTGTGGGAGAAGCCTTTTTATTCTTGGGTTCCATTTTACACAGTCCTGAAGAGCCGAGAGAGCGCCTACTTTCATTGTGGCCCCCTGAGTTTAGGTCAAAGCCATTGATACCGAATTTGTAGAGAATAAACATCGATACCATTCCATATCCACCAGATTTTCTGGTGCAAACTGACCCATGGCAATTTCGCAAGGCCTCTCAACCAAGAGGGCGCTGTTTGCATCACCTTGGCGCCCAGTTGTTGCCCTCAGTGCTGCGGCGCCGCAGCGCACTGGGCTTTGTGACAGAACAGTATCCACAGGAGGAGTCATACGCTGGTAAACGGGTATGGGTTTTTTACTGGGTACCCCAATGAGATTGGATGGTTAGTACTAAAAATTGACTAAAATCTGTGGGTCCCTGAGGTCTTTCGTTTTGACCCATAGCCATATAAACTACTTTGAGTTTTTTTCCATCGCTCCACAAATGACACAATGATTTTTTCTGATTTTCGCTCCATTCCTTGGGGAAACATGGAGGAGTTTGTACGGATGCTGAGCGCCAGCTGTGAGTGTGCCATGGAGCCACAACTGTTGAGAGCTGGAAGCAGGATGAAGATCCACTTACTTCTCATGCTTCACGATGTTGAGGCTGCGCGGAGCTTGTCAGACAGCTTCACCAGATGGGTGCCAATAGGACCTGGCGACATGGTCAAGCTTTGGAAAGCTGCCACTTCATAGAATTCAAGCATGGACGCAGCGCGAATGCCTTTTTGTACCAGAATGAGCAGAACGCACATACAAATACAGGCATGCACATGTTTATCATTCAGGTATTGTAAGTCTGAGTGTAACGAATTGTATTGATTTGTGTAATATAATATATCTAAACAAACTCCTTATTTTTTTTCTCAGTGACAATCCCCAGGTCTTCCCTCCTCGCTGTGCAGGGCTTTCAGCCCGGTCTCTACCTCCTGCAGCGCGCCCGCGACGAGATGCTGCCGGGCTTCGTCGAGCCGCCGCTGATGGAGGTGCTGGCGCTGCAGGGCTGCACATTGTGGCGCTTGGCCGCGGAGCCTGGGTAGCAGGGGAGGCTCTTGAAGATGTCAGGAGTTCGGAATGGTTTTTACCTATGCTAAGCTCAACACCGCCAACTGCGCCACCTGCCCCCGGGTTTCTTGGTGTAAATCATTTCGTTGCCCGAGGCAGACGTGCACCACGCTGCGCAGCTCTCCGCGTGCGGACAAGACATCGCCACAAAGGGCAGCTTTGCCGCAGCCTTTGTGGGAAATTTCCATGGCTGGACACATCCAAGGAGATCGGCGACGGAACACCCAAGGGGGTATGTTCTGAGGTTCTAAAGAGGTGTTTCAACCACGACACCTTTTGGCTTTCAGGGTTTCTTGGTTGTGATCCATTTGAGCACGGCTGTAAATTGGTGTAATTACCAAAGACTTTAGAACTGGCTGGTACTTGGCGCTAAGCTTGAACCATGCAATGTCCGGGACCGAGTCAGTTTTTACATCATCGTTTGTGGTGTTTCACCGTTCATTTTTTCCAGCAACCCACCTTTTTCCATCCAAGATCCGATTTTTTTGTAAACCTCATTACTTCAACCAAATCAATCATTTTCACCGGTCAATTTCGCCACTTTCTGATAGTTGGTAGTAAGATTTCGATACTTCATTTTTTTCGAAATCTAGATATCCAATCTTAAATCATCTAAAATCCATATTCACAACATCCGCAGGAACTACGCGGAGCTGCTCTGGCAGTCTGGGGCTTTGGGCCAGGTTCTCTACCTGGCTGCTGAAGCAGCGGGCTTTGGAGCCACCGGCCTCCTGCTGGAGTTGCTGGGAAGGGTTGGTTTGACCGCCACCTAGGGATGAAACGACCATTTTTACCGACATGGCAAAACCATATGGATTCCTAGCACTTAAGTCACTTAAGCCAGGAAGCCATGCGAAATCAGCAGAAAGTCTGGATTTCTACGACTTAACCGATTAACCCAGTGAAAATATCCGAAAAACCTTGACCAATACAAGTCGGACAAGAAAAGTTGGGGTGAACCAGAAACAATTGGGATGTGGGTCTAGATTTGAGAGGCAACATATTCCTGCCGGTATCCAATTGACCCATCCGCATACATCCGATAGAAACGGAGGGTTTTTTTTTGTCAAGCAACACCGTGGTGAGAAATTGGATTTTCGACGATCAAAGACCTGCTCAGAGCATCAACAAAAACTGGTGGCAATACATGTAAATTTGGAAGGTAAGAACCAACTCTTGGGCTATTTCCAAGTCTTTGATGCAACTTACGGAAATGGACAGCTATTTGATCAGAAAGCACAGTTCCTTTGTCAGAATGAGTGTTTTGTAATCTACCCAAAATCTGTGTTCAATTCTCCAAGGAACAACTCAAGTTGGAGAACATGTATATATCTATCTCCAATTTGTGCAAATGCCAGGCACCTGTAAACTCTTAGGTCTCACCCCTTGGTCTCCAGATTTGTAGTCGAAGTCCCTCTTTCTTGTGATAGCTTCAACATCGTCCAAACAGGTCAAAGATTCGGGAAGGGCAACTCACTCTGGACTCGAAACTGGCGCCCCAAAGTGGTGAGTACTGTAGTTCAGAATGTTCAGATTCCTAGCATGCTACCCTTCAGTGTCATTTCATGGCCAAGCACATCAACTTCCTATCAAGTGGGTACCCTCTGGTAAACTAACATAGCTATTGAAAATGGCCATTTATAGTGAGTTTTCCCATAAGAAATGGTGATTTTCCATAGCTATGTTAAATTACCAGTGGGTAGGGGTTCACAGGCTTCACACTGAGGTATGGGTTGCTTCATGGACGACATAACGTTGGCGCTTCTGAGATCCCCTTGGGCCATGGAGTCCAAAGCGAAGAACGACTCCCAAAGCTTTGCGCCCATGGAATCGCAGTACCAGGCTGCAGGATGTGGAAGTTTCATGGGTCAAAAAATGTTGGTGAATATATCCTGGGACGGGCAACCTGCAAACATAAGATCTCTTATATAGTGAAAAATTGAGGGGTTTCAGAAAGAATGAGACAAGAAAATATCCCTGAAACTCATGAATCTATGGGGTGGGCAAGTGGGTGTGGGGAAGTGGGTGCGGGCCAAAACTGGTTCCAGGATCAGAAATGTGAAGTTTCGTCAGCTCCGTGGCAGGTGCTCTACCATTTCGCAGTTGGAAAGCCCTCGGTGGATCCGCGGCTTTTGAGCTTCGAGGCTTACCAGCACCTGCAGGTGGGAATGGAGTGGAATCCAGGCTCCGGGTAGGATTTTCCTATATTTTCCTAACTTGCACATCAAGCTGGGAAACGAAGGGGGTTTCACAACAATCTTGTGCATTTTTTTTTCATTTACTCTATGTCTTTGTAGATTCTGCCAGTGGAATGAGTCCAGTCTGGCACTGTGCCGACCTTGATGACCCTCAGAGTTGGACCCACAAACTACAGCTGTTCCATCACCGCCAGGATGGTTTCTACTACGAAGCTTTGCAGGGCGGCATGGGGCGCATTGTGCAAGCCTCACCTGTCGGTGAAAAAATGCCTGTGGCAGGGCTTCAGTGGGGTCTTGTTGGGGTCTTGTTGGCTGGAGATGCAGTGTGATCTGAAGATTCTAGCTGAGAAGTAGGAACCTTTCAACCCCATGGGTCGATCTGAAGCTTCTGGTACGTTGAAACAAATCCATTGATAGTGGCTTTGCCAGCTGGAGGATTGGACTCCTCTGAAATGCTGGTCCAGAAAAAGGGCAGACTGAATGCCAATTACTGGGCGTGTCCTGCATCTTACTACGATTCTTCCACTTCCATGGATATTTCAGGTAGGCTTACGGCTGGCTTGTCTTTTGGCTTGGATACTGGTCCAGTGGGTGAGCTGAATTGTACACCATGTATGGACTGGAAAGTGGATCCTCTACTTTGCAAGTGCTGACATGATGACACAAATTTGACCAATGATGAAGCCATCCAAGATAAATTGTCAACATGAGAGGCCGCTGAGGTCATTTTCCTGGAGTTTTCATTGATTCCAGGTCATTTGGTATCGCCGGTCTTCTTCACATAATCCTCACCAAGGCCTTTTTTGGTAGTTCGAACACCCTGAATGGTTTTCAAAATCATCTGCAAATGCAACTTGCTGAACATCCCAATGACGTCCTGACATGCCCGGCCTGTTACAACAGCCCCTTGGCCGCAAGCTGCTCTTGGTTGATGGCTTGATATGGAAGGAGGATGGCCAAGTTCACTCCAGAAATATCGCAAGCAGTGCTGAAAAGTGCATTGGAGCTTCCTCATTCACAGATCCCAGCATTTGACTTCATTGAAGTTAGTTAAAACAGTCCATTAGGGATAATTTTGGGCAACTTTGTGCGACTTGCTGGAATCTGGGAGCTTCAACTAGCTGCTGGAAAACCCAGTGGACATAGACCTAAGATGACCTAAGAATCCTTGTGTCCGATCTCTAGTTTTGAGGCACACCGGCACACCACCCATAGTTTGCTTCTGACCATTTGTTCAGTGCCCCAAACCATCCCCTTCTACTGGCTTCTCATAGACTGGATGAGGTATGAGAATCCCTACCAAAACAGCTGGTCTAGCCCTTTGCAACTTGATCCTGACACTGCAGGTTTGGACCCAACTTTGCCAGCAGCTTCTCTAGCTTCGAGGTTTCAGCACATGACAGATTGATCATCTTGGGTGCCAGTGGATAGCCAAGATTCACATTTCAGGTACAGACCATTTTCATCCATTTTCCAATTTCAACCTACAACAATCTTCCCGCCTTGGGGCCGTGGGTGTTCAAAGGCTCACTCTCGAACTTGAGATGTCAATGGCATCAGTTCTGCCGTATCCATGATATCAATGATATCCACGGGACCCCAATGAATCCAAGTCAGTCCATTTGGGTATTGAAACCCATGGTGACTTAAGGAATTCCCCACTTGACCGCCCCAGCCTTGGACCTCCGTGCAGGAGATTCCCGGTCTCCCCGGTCTTGCCGGGGCGGGTCTCAGCGACCAGAAGCCAAAGCCAGCGCTGGACTGTGGCTTGGAGATTTTTTCTGTTGGATTCCCAAGGTGTAGGTCTGAAAGATGAGGATTTCTATAGCCCCCAATGCATGGTGAATCTTGGGGAAAATGATGGAACATGATCATGAACCAGATTCAGAGATATACCCTTGTGAAAAAAAAACACATCTGCTGTCATTGAAGAGTCTGAACACTGGTCTTTGAATGAAGGATCTATGATAGAAAGAATCAGTGATTTGGACTGTTTGTTCAACGGTTTGATTTCTGTATGTCTGAGGCAAATGCTTTCGATACCAAAAGGAAACCTTAGATGATGTGAATCACTTGCAGCAGAACGTGAACTTCATTCGGAAGTTGCGACTTGTCACACAGTTTCAGGGTGGATTTAGCCATAGAAAAATGTGGAGGTCCGGCTACCAGGGCTACCATGGCTAGAAGCAAACTGGCTACCATAGTTTGGATCAACGCTGGGATCCCAGGGATCAGGTGGTACATTCAGCTAGCCAAGCCAGCGCCGATGGTTTTAGGATGGCAACCCAGACAACAAGCTTCCATTTGATAGAGCTATATATATATATACATATACATATATATTATATATATATAGAGTCCAACCAAGAAGGTGAACCAACAGGTGTGGAGAAAAGATATCCAATGATATCTGTCACTCTATCACCATGAAGCATTTCGGACACCAAACAAGTTACAGCCAGTGAATCCATCAACAACAAGACTTCAGAAGATGTTCCGCAACAAACCGTGGGACCGTGGGGGGGATCTCAACAGCAGCATCCGAGGTTTGAGCCGAGTGACATCACTCAAGAGATGCTGGATGGAGCCAAGGACGTCATCGTCAAGAAACGCGAGATGAAGGAGGAAGAGGTGCAAACCGCTGCAAGCCCATGGTGATATGTGGAATATTGTGGAATGACATTTGAGGCTTCAAATTCCTGGAATGATATTTATGGTTAGGACTGACATTTGAGGCTTCAAATTCCTGGAATGGTTGATGGTTTGGGGATTTTCTTGGGAGTTTTACGAACTGGTTTCACTAAGTGATGTCATGGGGATTCGCCGCCGGATCGCGACATCACTGGGGACCCCAGGCAGCAGCCATCGACACCGGGGAGAGCTTTTGGTATGCCAAGCTGTCCGAAGACATCGCCAAGAAGGCCAAAAGTGGCTTGAAGGCCTGAAAAACTCTGGGGTGAGTGGTTGGGGATGGAACTTTGGATATTTCATCAGCAAAGATGGGAATTTCATATATTTCATGGACACTCAGAAAGAAATATAGCTGATGTACCGAGATGTTTGCTGTTTGGGACCCCGCATTACTGCAGCACTTCAAAAAAATGGATCTGAAGGGGAGGACGGCCTCTTTTGCCGTGTTTTGGGGTAGTTGCATTATCTTTGATGATGTATCATACCCATTTGATCAACCCAGCAAGCAAGCATACACCTTTCTTTGGGGAAGATGTGCTGGGCCCAGTCTCAAAGCACTGCACCCATTCGGTCCTTCAAAGCCTGTTGCAATCTTTGGGTTTCTATTTGAAGGCGGGTCAAACTTGGGTTTTACATATCCCAAGCAAAACTTCCCAGCAAAAACGGACCACAAGTTGCGGGTCGCTAGGTCCAAGGTTCTACATTTCTCATGTCTGCATGACCTTTGGGGATTGGGATCACAACTAACTGATGCCCCCAGGTGAAGATTAAACGCGGCGAGGAAGAGATGGAGGCGAGGAAGGTTATGACTGCTTCAGAAATATCATGTGTTTGATCAGCTCACACATCCATGTACTTTTTCTTTGAAACAAGTCTACATGGCCTGTCTGAAATCTCACACTCCCGTGACTTTTCGATCAGTCATTGGTCATCGCTACAGTAGCGATCTGCTAGGCATGCCTGAAGTCCTATCCGGATGATCTTGACGCACAAAATAATCTGCGCAAGAAGAGCAAGGCGATTTGGGAGCTGTGTCCTCCTCCGGGAAAGAAGAGTCTTGGCATTTACGTCCGACCTCTGATCCCCACGAGGATTCCGAAGATACGGTGATGTTTCTGGTGGGTTTGGGCTGTTTGGGCTTAAGATTTCCTCTGTGGGTTAGTGACGATGTGATGGCTGGGATTCCACCATTCTGCACCATAAGTTTTCATCGAGGAAGGTGCCCGATGAGGATCCTTTGCCGTGTGGTGGGACTGAGAAGCTCTGAGATGAGAAGTTCCTGGTGCGGGTTAGAGGGCAGGCTGTGCGAAGAGAGGTCGAAACATGAGGTCATGAGGGCTTGAATTTGTCAGAACATTTAGGGAATAAAACCAATGCCAGTGGTTCATCATCATTTTCCCCAAAAGAAGAATTCTGGACAAACCTCATGGAACTGGATAACATGAATTATGTATCCTCAAGGTTTAGACAAACCCCAAATCCGACCGCTTAAGCATCACTTTTCCCTACTGATGGACCAGGAGTCAGGCCACCAAAAATACCTGACGTGGCAAGATAGTTGTGTCCTGCTTTTACCTTTTGTGATACTCTGCAAACTTGTGGAATCAAAAAGAACTGGATACAGACGTAGACGTGACATACCTCCAACAAAAACATGTAACATGAACATTACATATTATACACACATGAATATAGATGCATACTCTCCCACTTTTGCATCGCTGGGGTGGGATCCAACCTGAGGTTCAAATGGAAGTCTGGAGATGTCATGGAATTTCTAGGCTTGCCCGGTGGCTCGGGTCAGCGGCGAAGCAAAGCAAAGGGTTCTGGACACCAATTCTTGCGGTCAGCCGCCATTTGGTAGATATAAGATGATATAAGGTTAGTACTGTTGTTGCTTCTCCCAATCATGGTTGATCAAGCTTCCTGCGATCCTCACTCACTCACTCACTCACTCACTCACTCACTGCAGCGGACGGATGCGATCCTAGTGCTATTCATCTCGACTTGTACCCTGTTTTCATTTTTGAAGGTTCCCTATCCCAAAGTTCCCCAAAGTCTTGCAGATTCACCATGTATTCACCATGTATTCTGCCCATTTGAGCAGCCTTCCCAGCATCCCCAGATCTTCCATGGCCACAGGAAGCTGTCGCAGTTCCTTAGCCATGCGTCATCCCAAGATGAAAACATACGAGGAGGACCAGAAAACAGGGAGCAGTTCACGGTGGGGACAGAAAGTCAACCGGGTTATTTTTGTTTGTGGCTTGATGTTTCTCTATATTTCTCTATACATGTTTTTCTTTGAATGTTTTTTTTTTTCAATGGATTATTTTGGAAGGGCAACGAATGCAGTGAGTTTTGGGGGAGCTGGACCTTCCAACTTTTCCACGCTGCAGGACGATGATGAGCGTTTCAAACTTGCGGTGAGGGACATGACCAAGGATTCAGTGGGGGCTTCCAAATCAATGAATTTCAGTGGGGACGCCAATGATGAGTTCAATGTTCATAGCATCTTTTCACACTCATTTTCCAGAAAATGTGCATTTTGACAGCAAGAAAACATGCAACATCGCAAGTTGAAACCCATCTTTCCTGGAATTTTGATGAGGATTTTGGACATTTTTTGCCTCTTTCCATCATCCCGTGGGTCCCAGGAGTATCGCAAGAAGTTGGCCAAAGAGAAGGCGCAAGCCCTGAAGGCGGTGGCGGAGGCCCAGAAGGCCGACAAGTGAGCAGAGCCCATCTTTTTCCCGAAACCGGTGGTGTTGGCAACGTTTAAACCATGACATATGTGGAATTCAAGCAAGAAAACAAATGGCAAGTTGGTGAAGAAAATGGAGACTTCCATCAAAACATCAAAACATGGTGGTTGGAAGCAGCAAAGAATTCAAGACGAGGATGATGAGGACAAAATAGCATGACCTTTGCTTGGGTAGAATTCATCAAACGCGGAGATTTATAGCAAATCAAAATGAGGATGTCCTAAAAAGTTGGAGGTGACATACCATTGACTTCAATAGCCAAGACCTGTGGAAAAGATGGCGAAAAGAAGGCTCCGAAATGGATCAAGATGCGATTCCATCCATTTTGGTTTCTGAGAGTTGGATCCAAAGCATGAAGATGTGGGGAAATCCATTGCTGGAATTGGGTTTGAGGGAGAACTTATAGGAAAGCTGATATTTGACATTAAAAGCCATGGTTTCCTGTATTTTTGGCCCTTAAATCAGTCTATTGATCCATGGTGTTCAAGACCGGTGTGGGTCTCAAAATCTTGGCTTCGCTGGGGCCAAAGCAGCCCGAGCGGACACCAGCATGAGGTGCTGACCAAAAAACAGCCGTGGAGCCTCATGAAGAATGTAGAGATATACTACAGAGCTCGAGATTCAAACCAAGTGAGCCAAGTGGTAGTCCCTACCACACATTTTTAGAATAAGACTTGAAGTGTCGGTGGATGTAACCTACCTAAAGTCTCCTTGAGTGGCTGTTAAGGGGGTGCTTCTAGAACTTGATGTACCTCTAGATATAAACAATGTGATTGGAATGTGTGGGAACTCAGCCATGTCTTTACGTAGGTTTCTTTAAGACCTCAAATAGGTTAATGTTTCCTTTGGCTCACACCTTTGAGTGGAATTGTTCCGCCACCCCACGAGCTGCACGGCTCACAGTCATCAACTGCTACCTAGGCATTCAACACGCAGTTGGAAGACTAGCCCCCCAAAAAAGTTTGCACTTCTGCAAAGACCAAAGCAACAGCTGAGTCCATCCAGTGGATCGCCGAGCGGCTCGAATCGAGCGGGTTTTCCCCATTTCGGAGGGAACCTGAGGCACCTCAGAGCTTAAGCCAAAAAAGTTCAATCTGAGCCACTTACCCATCCTTACCCATCCTTACCCATCCTTTCCACCACCAGTCGTTGTGATATGTCGCGCATCCGTGCTGCCTCCGCGCCTGCCCCCAAGGGGCTGAAGCGCCCGGTGAAGGTTTGTGTGGCTCGACAAATGGTGAAGGGTAATCGGGCTCATTAAGCAGTGAAACATATTGAAAGCCCAAAAATGATCAAAAGTGATCTTGGAATCAAAAGGATTTGCTTGTTGTGTAGCTTGTAGGTGCTTCGGAATAGATCTCCTGCTGTTTCCTGCTTTCATTTGAGATCTCCCAGGTGAGGGTAAGGCCAGTGCTGGAGCGGGAAGTGGAAAATGGCCGCTTGGCAAAGATCCCTTGACCTGTGACCTTGGAGATCTTCAAAATGATTGACCTTGGAGATTCAAGACTTCAGTTCAACCATTTTAAGGAAAACATATTACAATATATGTTACAGTATGTATATATAAATCAATAAATAAATAAATGTACATATACATATCGTATATATATATACACAGTAGCTCTAACTTCATTTTTATGTCGCTTTAAAACATCGCAGTTCATGTTGCCAAACTCTTGGAGCTCCGGTGCGAGGTTGCTACCATGGTTGCATTGCCATGGCCCATGAGCGCATCTACATCGCAACCGAAGATAAGCCAGTTCTGATTGGCAGCAAAGATGACCCGGTGCCAGAGGGAATCAAAGTTGCCTGGCATTTATGGTGGTGGATCTTAACCAAACCTGGATATACTGGATACCCCCTGTCTCTAAGAGTCCCACAATCTGTCATTCCAAGACAAAGACATGTGGCTGTAAGGCTTTTTGGGCATTGGGATTTGGAGAGAGCTTCTCGCAAACCAACGGCAATTGAAGCACAAGGAATCCACAGTGCCCAAAGCCGGGACTTTGAGGTGTCAATGAAATGTAAAACTGCTTCTCCCATTCTCATTCTTTTTTCCACAGTCTGAGACTGAGATGTTTCTCAAAACTGTTCAAACCTCATCCCAGAGGGTTTTCGGGTTTCCCCCTTCTCAAGCAAAGGTATACCCTGGTTTCGATGGGCTTTTAGACCAAGATTGCAGCCAAGAGGCCAGGAGATGGCACATGGCGACGAGGTTCAGCAAAGTTTTTGGTGGCTACACATCAACCAATTACCAGCTGGGTATGTTTTGAGCGCTATGCACCACTCAGACGGCGCAGCATTGTGGGGCTCTCTGTCCTGTACTTGGATAAGCTTCAGTGACTCCCCCAGGTACCAAGAGGTAATGAGTTGTGGAAGAAATACCAGTCACTTCCTAGTCACAATAGCTTTCAATATTCTCTAATCCCAATTTTTCACGCACAAACCCACATTGCGGTGTCAGAAATCCAGACATTTCTAGGATACGGCTATGGGTCAAAACCCTTGTGCCCTGGTCAACATTAAATTAGCTGGTGAAAGGTATTCCATGGGTTTTGACCCCATCAACTCACCACAAGATCATTGTTTTTGTTGATTACATCCTATTAAATCTTATGGAATCCCATTCAATCCCATTAAATCCGATTAAGTCACACTAGATATCCTATTGAAACCCATAAAATCCCATTGAATCATCATATTTCTCAACCCGCTTTGTTTCGTTCCAGGATTGCTTCCAGAGCGCCGGCCGCGAAGCGGTGGACGGCATCTTATTGGGCCTCAATGGAGCCATCATGGCGTACGGACAGACCTCCACCGGGAAGACGCACACCATGGTGGGCGACGCTCAACGCTAACGTCTTGGTGCTGGGTGGGACTGGGTTTATGGCTGACATGCTGGGCTTATTAATGCCAAAACATGTCGTAACCCCAACTTCACAAAAAAAGATCCCATGGAAAATGGTTTTCTTGATTTAAGACCGCAATTTTGGGCTACCGCTCCATTTTGAGACCTCGTTGTTCGCAGGGAATGCTTGGTCGGGTTTTGCCTAAATCGCCAAAAAGGCTTGCTGGGTAAGCCGAAACCGTTGAAGACTTTGGGTCACCTTTAGAGATTGACGTCAGAGGGATGGGCGCTGTTTCCCGTAACTTGTTTGGCAGATACCCTGTTGATTTCCGTCCCATCATAATTTGCCTTGCGCATGCAACAGGGGGTAAAAGGCATTCCGATGCCCCAAGGTATACCAGACATTAAAACCTTGTTTGGATGGGTGTTTCAATCATGTTCTTGATCCGTACCTCCTTAGGGCGGGAAGAACATCGTTTCACCTGCGCAGTTGCGTGTTTTTTTTCTGAGGATAAGACCCGCCCGGGGCTATGTCTGAAAGCGGCTGCGCATCTTTTTTCGGAAGCCGGGCTTCAAGGGGCACAGATTGAAGTGACTGCATCCTTCCTACAGTGCTTTGGATCAACCCTCTGGAAATGGGAGCCGAGTCACAGGACCTGGATTCCAGGTTCTTACTTCGTCTAGGCAGGTTAAAGACATTCCTGGGATGAACACTGTTACAGTAGATAGTATCAACTTTGGAACCTGGGACTTTGGAAATGAACAACTCAAAACAAGGGGTTCCAGGTGAAATAAATCATCACCAGGTAGAAACCATCACCCCCTTAAGGACTTGTTTGGGATACACATCCATGGTGCAGATGGACTGCCTGGATCCTCTCAGGTTATATCTCAACCACATCACCGACCTCCTAGCCACTCGGTTTGAGATCATTTGAGAACATCAGGATGGGTCAAATTCGGATAGCCCGAAGGGTTTCTCGTATTGGTGAATATACCATGGTATAGCCTGGTATAGCCATCAAAAATGCTGGTATCGAACATGTGGATGTAACTTTCAAACACGGGAATACGTGATGGTGCGGGGTCCCTTACCAACACCATGGCCGTCAATGTTGACCTTTAGCCGTGTCCAAAGATATGCCCAGGATATGCTCCCATGATATCCATGTGAGATCCAGCCCTGGCTCAGGTGAACGATGGGCACGAAAAGAAGCTCAAGCTCCGAGAGTTTGTTGAGGAGGACTGCTTCCCATGAACTCTGCCCAAAGAAGGGTGGCAACTAATGTATATAGGTAAAACAATAATAAACCACCCATTTGGGAATGGTTTATATCACCTACTGTATTTATGGTGATTTTGGGGGTGGTTTATTATTGTTTTACCATGTTTTACCCACATTACTCCACATCTGATAAATCTGATGGCTGATCATCATGATTCGCCATGAAAACTGCGTAAAAAATGCCAGAGTAATGATCTTTTGACGCCTCCGTGCTCCGTCCCTGAGGACTACGTGGACACACGTGTGGAAGGTCTCAGTGAACGTCCGGTGCAGTCCATGGACGATGTCGAAGAACTGTTGGAAGAAGGCAACAAGCGAAGGCAGGGTTTGGAGCTTGAAACCACCACTGGGTGGACTGGGAATTCCAAATTGGATGGTGCAACTGGCTTCATTTCACCCAGTTGAATTGGTGGACAACCAGTCATGGGCCAAGACTGGAGCCACGAAGGCCTCATTTGGTTTCGGGTCTCCTTAAGGAGGCTATGCATCATGTGCCATCAAGCGGCCCACATGTCTGGTTGTATAAATCAGGGCACGTGGTCAACTTGGATACTAAGGTCGTTGGCTAATCAATATAAAATATTACAGTATAATATAATGTATATGAATGGGGATATTATTTTTTTTCACCCACATTTTAAGAATTAATCCCATGATTTTCCAATGTGTTGAATAATCCCCATTCATCTTTACAATCCCCATGATTGCCCCCGTCGTCCATCCCCCAATGGGACAACCGGTCACGTTTCCGGTTTTTCCCATGAGGCAGCAGGCGTGCACCGCTCTGCCTCTCGGCATTTCCCGTTCACATGTGGTTCATTACTGTGGTTTGGAAACGGGGTCGTTTCCAATAAAATTGGCGGGTGAAGCATCACTTTTGGGGGTGTACTAGTGACTACTAGTGGTTAATACCCCCAACAAGGTGATGTATCTTGGATGACATACCAGGAACATTCAAGGAACCTTGTCAGATGCCTAGGCTTGACCCTCCCAATGGTAAGCTGGTCCACCTTGCCGGGAGCGTTGAAAATGGGTCGACTGCCTTGGTTGCCCTGAGGAATGCGAGTTCCAGCAGATCTCATGCGGTGCTGATTCTCAATGTGACGCTTTGGCAAGGTGCTTTGAGGGGCTGAGATCCTGACTTTAAAAACCATTTACTGTAGGAACTCCAGCGAACATCCTAGAAATGAAGAAAACAGACTGTATGCTTTGGACTGGGATGTTCATCCCATTTTCTGGTCGAGTTTGTTTAAAAACCCCTGCAGCTGGCAGGTGGCAAGGACGACGAAGCCACACAGGCGAAGTTGTACTTGGTGGATCTGGCAGGGAGTGAACGCGTCAAGGATTCCGCCGCCACAGGTGGGGCTGGGGATGTTGGGGGTACTGGGGATGCTGGGGGTGGGTGGGTACAGGGATGATCCTCCCGTCCTGAAATTAATCCGCCAGGTACGGCTGTTTCTGTAGGCTGGAAACCAGTGAAATTGAGTTGCTTATGAGTGCAGCGCAGGTAAACTTCTGATCCCAAACACCTGCCAGTTGGGCAGGTGACCGTTTCACTGAAGCCGTTCACATCAACAAGTCCCTCTTCGCATTGCAGGGGGTCGTTGCCGCGCTGGCAGATGGCGCGCCGGGGGCAGTTTACCAGAAAGTTTGCGGCTCCGCCAATCTTATATGTTTTTTTTTCGGTTCCGCAAAACTTGTGCGTTTGCTGATGATCTCAACATTTTGAAAGATCTAGCCGAAATCCCTATTTCAGCTGGTTCAATCGCCATTTTTTGTGCTTAAAGCCACTTGAAGCCCCCAATTGTTTCTGTTGAACTCCCGATTTTTCCCTTCCCCCGGCCTCCCCTGGAGCTGTGCCAGCGGAGAGGCAACCCCCACGTGCCGTACCGCAACGACCCTCTGACCCAGCTGCTCCGCCCCGCGTTGGGTGGCAACTGCTGCACCACACTGGTGGCCACGGTGTCTCCGGCCCAGAGGCCTCGAAGAGGGTGCTAATTGGGCACAGTCGTACTTGAACTATGGTTAGGATTTTTTGTGGTGATACCTTATGACCTATGACCATAGCCAAATGGGTTAAGACCAACCAACTGCTGGAGCAACTAAGTTGCTTAAGAAACCAGGTTCATTTCAGGTTTATGGGGGTTATAAAGTATAGGTAGAGGGGTCAGAGGGGTTAAGACTAACCAACTTGTAACTGTGTGCACCACTTTCTGGGATTCATGGCAAGGTTGGACCCATACCATATCTATGTAGTAGGGGCAACTAATTATCATGGTGATGTTCCAAGCGTGGAGGGCAGAAGCTCAGATGGTGTTCGCCGACGCACTCTGTGTGAACTTGAGCAGATCGTGAGTGATTGAACTCATGGATTTTCAATCTTACATGAATCATGAAAATAAATTGAAAAGTGCAAGGGGCTTTCAAGCCTGCACTAGATCATCTCCAATTCTTAGTTGATTTACCTGATTAAGCAACAAATTGCCCATCCCCAGGTTTCTTTACCACAGGGTACCCATTGAAATCATTTGGGGATAGCGTCTCAGCCAGGCATTCCAGAGAGTCGGAAGGGACCTTGAACTTTGCTTCAAGCTGCCGACGCATCAAGGGTGAGGCCGACGCACCTTCAGCTGGGAATGGCTAGTACTGTCCATTAGTACCTCTAAAATGGATGAAAGTGGGATGGTTCACTGCTAATTTTTGCTAAACATGCTGTTTCTGACTTCTAGCCGTTTCCGTTTACATCCATCAACTATGTGGGGTCGCAAGACTTTGGAGGATTTGGGGATTCAGCTGGATGCTAAACTTGGATGATTTCACCTCACCTTGGGAATGGAGTGGCAGGAATTGATCAATGAGGTCACTTTCGAAAGTATTGTGCCCTCCCTGAAGAATCATGTTCAATCCAATTGCAGCGTTTCGAGTATCTCTACTTCCAATCGAGATGTGGAGGAAAAGTGGCCATACTCCGCAGCCTCAAACTGGCCAGTGCTCAATTCAGCCAGGTCTTTGTGAATTCGGTACGAAAGCCACGGCCGTGGGAGTCGAAGCCGAAGGATGTCAACCCGATGGCTGGGGCAGATTCTTGCCCCTCACGTGAGCGACACAGAAGTGGACACTTATGGTGGAATTTCATGGAAATTCCACTTCGACACTTTTTGTTTCGAATGGGTCACAACTATAGACTGGAACCCAAATCTGATCGCCAATGGTTTCAAACTAAACATGGCAAAACCCAGTTTTCAACTAGACCTGCAATGTTTGGGTGCGAAGCAAATTTGTTTCAGTATAATACAGTGGTCAATTGATAGCCATGGAAGGAGGAACCTGTAAAGGAAGAGCCAGAGGAATGTCCATGGGCATCTTTGGCAAAATTGGATGCCTCCTGGCTGAGATCTGAAAGGCATGGAAGTGGGAAAAGCCAGAAAAACGGGATTAGATATGGTGTGTTTAGTGTGCCCTTGGTACTGGTAATGAATTTTGTTTGGTGCAATTTGGTGAAGGGCAAGACTTATGGGGTACTGGTGCTGTCCTGGAACGTCAGTGGTGGTGAACCCCGTCTTCTGGTATTGATCCATTTAATTTACTGCGGATTCGACGCCTTGAATACGTCTGCACTGTTGTGCAAAGCAACATGAGTTTCTGCAGCAAGAAACTTGCTTGGAGCATGTTCCGCACTGGTTGGCGACTTTTTTCCAGCACATTTCGAGCTGCAAAAGCTCCACTTCCTCCTTAGTTTCTGGGTCCTGGATGCCAACAGAATGCGGTCATACTGCGAATGAACTGCACCTCATGGTGGACCTCACCCCAAACGACAACATGGAAAGTGATCTCAAAGTGGTCTCAAAGTGCCCAATTTCAAGCTATATCTCGTGATTCTGTGAAAATACTTTTGCGAACAGATCTCCCGTACCAGACTCAAGTGCCCCAGTGCCCCGCTTCCCAGCTTTACGAGGCTGCTTCTGTGATGGACTCGCAGATGTTGGATACGGCACATGGGCAGATTCACGTCCTGACGTGTGGTCCCAGTGATGGGGAGGCGAATGGTACCGTGGCGGCTGTACTGAAATTTTGCCACTGGTAGCGGATCAATCTGAGCTTAATTTGGATTGCGAAGACTACATGCGATTACAGTATTTCAACATATTTCAACCTGGTTGGTGGTTTGGAACATGGCTTTTATTTTTCCCATCATATTGGGAATTTCATACTCCCAACTGACGAACTCCATCATTTTTCAGAGGGGTAGCAACCACCAACCAGCAACATATTTCAACCATACCTGGCAGAGATGGGCGACTTCCACTGTTGGGGATGCAATTCCTGGAAGGCGGTGTTGTTGCTACATGGCTGTCCGTCGGATGCGTGGACTTGGAAGTATCCTGGCGTCTGGAAAGGTAGATGTTTTATTCTGATATATATATATTATATAGAGGTTTCCATAAATGGGGGTACCCTCTGGTAAACTAACGTAGCTATGGAAAATCACTATTTTGAATGGGTCGGTAAATTCACTATAAATGGCCATTTTCAATAGCTATGTTAGTTTACCAGAGGGTACTTCCAAATCATCCATTTTGTTTTCGGATTTCCCATGATTAACAATCCAGCTATTGGGGTATCCCCATGACTATGGAACCCCCAATTAATACGTACTATGTGTTTCCTGGTCCCCCTATGGATCCCCAAAAAAAATCCCATTGGATACCATTGGTTTTCAGTGGGTTTTGAAGCCCGGTAGCATGGTATTCTGTTTGGGTCAGGTCATTGAGAATCGAACTCGTAGGAACTCACGAAAGATCGGTCCCGAATTTGGACCATTGGAAGCAACTCCGAAGTATTCTTTGAAGGATTGAATGAGTATTCTTTGAAGGATCTTTGAAGGAAATCTGAAATCTGCCTTGCCAAAGGTGATGTAGAAATCCTTGGGATGTGGCTCCCTGGACCTGTTGATGAGACCATCATTGAGCCACAGTGGCTGAGGTGGCTCTTCCCACCACTGTTGTACAACAAGTATCGCGCGATTGTGCCCTCCTTAGTCCAGTCCACTGTTGGATGTGTGGCTCTGAATTTTGCTATCAATCCTATTAGAATCCTATTGAGGAGCCACTTGGGTCTCTTTGGGAATGCCCAAAGGCCTTCCCTGAAATGGTGGAACTTCAAGTAAAACCTCATATGTTCAGCCAAACACAACTTCCAGCCCTGGAACTGATATTTCCTTTACTCCACATATACAAAGCGTACAGATAGCATACGTTGATTGGATCACCCCAAATCTCCATGACCAAATCCAGCAAGCCAAGGCCATCGACATGCCAGGCTTCGGCAGTTCTCCTGGGACAAGGCTCGGGAGTCGATCGGAGCTGAACAACGTGAAGGGCGGACCACTGGACATCGCCTGCGCGGTGCTGGATGCCTTAGGCTGGGGGTTTGAGATGCCTTAGGATGCGGCTGGGGGCGGGGTTGATGTGGAGGGGATGATGGTGGGATGTGGTTGATGGGGTTGATGGGGTTGATGGATGATGGTTGGTTTGGTCATCGTTGCCATGTTGGGCCAATGGGATCAGTGAGACTATCTTAGTCGTCCCCCGGGGGCACCAAAGACATACCGAGGCGTGCAGAAGGCCAACGTTGTGGGATATGAGCCTCAGATGCAGTTCCTTTTGGCTGATACCCTCTGGTAAACTAACATAGCTATGGAAAATCACCATTTATAGTGGATTTTCCCATGAAAATTGGTGATTTTCCATAGCTACGTTAGTTTACCAGAGGGTACCTTCATCCATGATGGACTTGCAGGTTTGCACCAGGTTAGGCATCAGATGCCTTCCATGTTGAACCGTTACCCGTGTACACGTGTATATTGAAGTGAGTCAGGTGTTGTCTTTTTTACTTGCATGGCCATGATCTGCAAACACCCAATGATGTGATGTGAGAAAATCCAAGATGAAGTTGGCGGGGTTTATACTTCGATTGGGAAGAGGAGGATTCCCGCAACAGTTCTTCTGAAAATGAGGATTGGGGCGCTGGCATCGCCCTCTCAATGGGGCTGCTGCGAAAGAATCGAGTGCTGAAGGTTATACCATTTCATCCCTCCTATTCTCCGCCGAAAGGCCCGAGGGCTTTCTTGTGTTTGTGGTGGCAACGAAGCCATTACACGATGTTACACACTCTTATTTCGGTGAATGCAGCATACAGTCACTTTAAACTTTAAACTACATAGTTTGTACCTGCAGATGAAGAACTGTTTGTCCTTTTGCAAACTGAGTATATCAGTATGTTTAGTCTCAACTGAATGGTCAGCTTGGACGCTTGGCTTTGCCCTGAACACAACACATGATGAAAGGATCAAAGTTTGATCAAAGTTCTCCACAAATTCAGTCATTTTCCGTCGATGATATTCTCATCACATCACGGACACCATGATTCTGAGTGATTGAGAAACGTGCCCTGTGATGACACAAAAGTTCTCGTTGAAATCATGAAGTTCTCGTGGTGTCCAGCGTCCTTCTGGTCAGAATGGCCGCTCTATCCTGACTGGATGGTCTCCAGATGTTTCCAGCGATCGTCAACCAGCTTTTTCTTTTGTATCTGAGGGCCTTTTTCAAGTGCTTCATTGAATTGGGAGAAAGGTGAAACTTCAGAAAATCATCCAGGGTCCACGGTTGAGGCGAGAATCTGGGAGCCATGTCAATGAATGTCCTGGTCTTGTGGGTGAAGGAGGACCAGCATCTCGGTGTTTTTTTTGGGAAAAGGGGGAAGTTACCATCCGGTGAACATAGCTATGAAAGCCATGGCCCATTTAAATAATCATTATTGTTGATGATGATTTAAATTACCAGAGGTTTAGATTCGACGTTTTCTTGTTTTGATGGTTTGTTCGACCCCCCAAAGCTTGGATTTTTTGATGGTTTGTTCAAGTCTCCCAAACTTGATGCTTGTTATCACTGACGGTTTGATGCGGCTGCAATGCACGGCCGCAAGCAGCAGTGCAGTCGCAGCCAGGGTCTGTCAGGGTCACAAAGGACGAGCCAAGTCAGCAGCTTTCCGAAATTTCTGCTGACCGGCTGCCGCAGCACAGCCAGTGACAATGTTGCTCAAGACAGCTGAATTTGTACATATTGCCAAGCCGTCTACTGGCAACACTATGCCTGCCTCTGGCTTACGGATACCTTTAAGAAGGTAGTGATCAAATCCCAGAATCCGAAGACTTTGACTGAAAACATCCCGAATGATCTGAACCATAGAAGCCAACGTAGGCCGCAACAACAAAGAACCATAGCTCCTAAAATCCCACTTGAAAGTACTTGGATTCCAAAAAGGGAAAGCCATCTGCCGCTCCTGGATGCACCAAAGTGTAAACTCTACAAAACTGAGTGGTGCCATGAAATCAGAGCTGGACTCCAAACTAAACAAAAGGTCAAAAACCTGAAAAACGAATTCAATTGGTTGCTTCATCTGTACATCTGGTGAGCTCAACTGTGTTTTCCAATTGATTGGGAAGACATCTGAAAGTGCTAAGTCTATGCCTAAGTTAGGCCAATCAAACGTCTCACTGAGGGTCAAGTCAATGATCTCCTCGGTCTTCTTCTTCTGATCGGCAATTCTGCAGTAGAAGGCTCTGAGTTGCCGAAGTTTTCCGGACCAGAAACAAAAGTGCTGACATGCATGTTGCTTCAATGTCCAAAATTCAGCTGAACGAGCCGCATTGGTGGTCACTGCAAGTTGGTCGGCAATGTCATTCCATGTGGCTTGCCATTCCTCGCAAGTAGATGTACACCTAACCAGGTCCAAATGGGATGGCGTCCACTGAACTGAAAAGAGATCTGCCGGCATGTCCGCAAGCAGTACACTGATCTGGTGCCAAAGATCATGGTTTTCACAAATGGTCTCTTCAGGATGCCAAATGCCCCCCAGGATGGCGAGCAGCCCGTCTACCGTGGATTTTGAGTCACTCCAAAGGCAAACTGGTACTTGATGGAATGCAGTCCATCGAATTGCAGCCAGCGCTCCGCAAAGCTCTGCACGTGTGATGGATTGAACTATGCCATGAAGTAGACCAGCTCCAACGGCTTCACCCGTGGTGGCATTGACTAATGACCAAGCCCCAACCCCAAAAACTCTAGGTTGAGAGGGACAAAAAGAACCATCAGAAAACAAATTTTGCAACCCTGGTCCTGGCTTGGAGTGAAAACAGCCAGTTCGATCTTCAATGCCCATGAGGTACGCCTTCATCTCAGCCTCATGCCGGCCTCGAGGCACCAGGAGGTGATGAAGTAAGCAGTCTGGTACATCTTGTGTCCACAGGAAGTCTTCTGCCATCTCCTGCTTGATATGCTCATACTCAGGGCATTGAAACCAGTGTCGTTGGGTATTGGGCACCAAACATCTCGCACATATTGCTGGCTTGGTCGGGTCATACTTTGCATGGTTCCAGTCTGAAAGAAAAGCACCTGACTGAAGTGCCATTGTCCGTCCAAGTTCCAGGGGTGTCATACACGCTCGATCCAACAAAGTCAGTTCAGCATGTAAACCTTTAAGGTCATGCATTGTCTTCCGGTGTTGCACCTGCGTGGCCAAGTACTGGTACCAGGCGTCTTGCAGCAATGCCTCAAGACCATTGTTGGAAATCTGGAAAAGATTGTGTGTAAAGCCATCATGGTCAGTAAAAATGGGTGGTACACGGATGGACCAACCAACTTGACTAAAGAGCTCCACAATCTTATAGAAAGGTCCGGGCAGCTTACGTCCGGTGAAGTTGGCCATGAAGTGTTGCCACATGACAAGGAGGTCTGGAGTCTTGTGGCAAACCCTCCGAAAGTCAAAAATGCAATGCCGTAGGTGGTAATACCCTGGGTCTGCAGTTGATGGTTGTGAAAGGGATAAACGCAACATGGGGTTAGCTCCACCAATGCGCAAGCCCAAAGCTGCAATGGCTTTCTTCCGAAGCTGATGCAAGTGGCTGTCAGCAAAAATGCAACCAAGTGCTCCATGGAGAGCTGAAGCCCAGAAAACCATTGGAAGGCTAAGTAACTTCTGCGCCAGGGGCGCCTTGGAAATGCGCAAACGTGCCCACTTCTTCTCAAGCCGTACTCCACGCTCAAGGAAAACTCGCACTCTGGCTGCAGAGTAGAAGGTTAAGGATCCCCCCAACTCTGAGATGTCCTCAACAACTTGAATCCCCAGAGGTGCCAATTCTGCTCGCGTCTGCGGCAAAGTACTCCAGGTATAGGATTTGTGGATATCAATTTCCAAGCCCCACAGATCCAAAAATGATCGCAATGAGAAAAAAGCCCAAACCAGGTTCATCACAAAGCGTGACATCATGGAAATGTTGTCCACAAATGACATAGTGCGCGTCATTGGGGCATATTGGGATTGATAGACATGTAAAGCCCAATCCAAAACTGCCATAGCAGGGACGCTCAAAGGGTCCCCCTCCGCAAATCCAATGTCTGATGTCAGTGGTTTGCTCAAGTGATTGTGCACTTGGAAGCGCCTTGTGAAGGAGGCCAGAAATTTGTGCCATGGTTGCAGTATTCGCTCAGGTAGGCCGAGGTGTCTTGCTAAGGTGAACCACTGGGGCCTGCGTATGTTGTTAAAGGCCTTCACCAAATCAACTGCTAGGCCTGACAGCGCCTGGCCAGAAACAAGTGCTAGCTCAACACTGGCTTGTACTTGTAACCAGGACTGCATGGCTTCCCTCCCTGGCAAAAATCCAAAAGCATCTGAATGGATATGCCCTTCAATCAACTTCAACAGCTGCCGTGAGCGCAGTGAGCCCCAGCAGCGGTAAATGATGCTGAAGAGCACAATAGGGCGATACGCCCCAGCTTCATGCGCGTCACCATGCTTGGCTATGGCAAGGACAATTCCTTGTTGAAGTTGTTGGGGCCAATCTGAATCCTCCAGTTCAACTCTGGACAAAAATTGAAGCAACCAAGAAATGTGAGCAGGTGACATGTTCAAAAGATCCTGCTTGGCAAAACCATCGGCTCCTCGTGCAGCTGACGGTTTAAAACGTTTGACTGTGCGCATCCATTGTGCCGGGGTAATGTCTGGCAAAACGAATTCAAAACTTGGCATGTAGCTCTGGATGAAGTTGGTGACACGTGTCCAGTGATCTGGGTTGATCTCATGCAGTTGTTGCCACCTCGGCTTCCAAAGATCTATCAGCTGCTCATGAACTTCTGCATCGGAACTTGTGTGCGTGTGTTGAACTATGACATCTCCAACTTGCAAGTCTGGCCATTTGTGGAAGACAAGTAGTTCTTCCTGGTATCCATCAACAGAAAGCCCACAACCGTTGTGATACCAAACTGCCCCAGCTTTTGGGATTACGGCTGCATCTAACAAAACGGCTTGGGACCCAGGTCGAACAGCGATGATGGTGTAGCTTTTGGAACTCCAAAGGCAGTCAATCTGATCTGGTGCTGGGTTTCTCAAGTCTTTGAAAAGAGCAGCGCAAGTCTTGTCATACTTCAATTGGATCGCTCGATTCTTTTGTTGGAGATGCCATCTCTCAAACGCACGAAATGCATGATGAAAAGCCTCAAAGATCAAGGAGGTCTGTTCCACATTGGGAGGTTGTGCTGGCAAAGGGCCAACTGCATGAAAAAACTCTTGCTCATCCCACCAACTGACAAAATTTGGTTGGGAACCACGTGCCCGCATAATAGAGGTCCACAGTTCTGTCCTGTAGAGAACTGCTTCAGTGTGTAACTTTCCAGACTTAATGGCATGGTTATAAGACTGGATCCTTCTCAACTGTCGAAACCACTGAAGAACTGCGGTTCCAACCAAATCATGTTCCAGAGTCACTTCACCTTGGCGGCTAGCCTTGCATGTTGTTGGCTGCAAGGAACGTTTCTCAGGTTTGAGCCGTTTTGCTCGGCCTCGTTGGGTGGGATGCAGAGCTGCTCCATTGGGGCCAATGTAGCCTGTCAAGGAGTCCTCAAAGTGCTGAGAAAACTGTGTCATGAAAACTGTGGAATCATCCGCAGGTTCAAAGTCATGACCATTGCAGTGTTCATGCCAGGCTGAAACATCAACTGTGTCCCATTGGATTTCTCTAGGTCGTGGCCAAGTCAAAACGTGTGCTGGGGATTCAGCTACATCAAGGGTGACCATCACGGAGCTATGGTCTGTGAAGACCTCGTCAACGTAAAAGCCAGTGCAAACTGTTAAAGCTGCTGGCGACAGCCAGATCAGGTCACGTTCTGTAGCCCCTTTGCATGTTGGAGTCCAGGCAAAATTCCATCTGTCCATTGCTACTTCTTGAGCTGAGGCCCAACCTGCCGAGCGCCATAGATGGAATTGTTCCAGCTCATGCGGGCTAAAGTTGAAATCGCCGCAAATAGCTACCATCCCTGAGTGGCCAAAAACAAAAGTCTTTGTAAGAAAGCCCAAGATGTCATTCATCTGTGTGGCAGCTTGAGGCCATGTAGGCCCCCGTGGCAGCCCATAAATCGAAATGACAGTGATACTTTGGCTCCCAATCTGATGTTGTGTGGCCAAAACACGTCCAGAGTTCCAAAGATCCTTTGGCCACTCTATGCTAAGCTGCTTGGAACTGAAGTCTGAAGTACAAGCCACCCCAGTCCAAGTCCCTGCCCAGTTTGAGCGGCTTCGCAGAGGAGCTGGAGCACTGAAGTAGGTTCTCAGCAGTCGTTGTTCTTTGCGAGCTACAGACTTCAGTGCTTTGCTGGAGGTGACCTGAGTGAATGCTGAGAGATGCGTCTCTGAGTAGGTCCATATGCCTGGCCCTTGAGCAACTGCAAGAGCTTCCTTGTTGCGGAGTCCACCAGGGTTCGTGCTGCCAATGACCAGGCTGCTGTAAGGTCCTGGATGGCTAGCTTCTCCAAAACGGTGTCCGGAGCTCCATAGAGTGTGGAGCTCACTATCATGTTGGACCATGATGATCCAAGGATGATGGTATGCTTCCTCTGCCCCCGACCGATGATCGCGGTCATCCGTGGATGCTGCGCTGGGAACGTTCAGGTCGGCAAGGGGCAATTGGAAGGCTGAACCAGTAGCAAAATGCCAAAACAAAATGCAAAGCTGAACCAAGAAGGTGAAAACTGATGGGCGTCCCGAGCTGCAAAACCCACATGCAGGTCGCGCCCGATATAGTCATTCACATCGCTGCTTCTTGTTGCTGAACAAAGCTTCAAGTCGATCAAAGCGTGACTCCAGCTCATGTGAAACCTCCGTCTTGTGGTTGTGCAATGCACTTTGAACAGCTTGTCCAACTTGTTCAGAAACTCCTTTAATCTCATGGTGGAGCCCTTGCAAGTCAGCCTGATGTGTGCTCAGGGTGTATTGAATGCCCTGAATGGATGTTTCAGCTGCTTTCATTTGCTGCCCAATGTTGGTAAACCACCCGGAGAATTGAAGTTGCTGGGCTTGCAGTTCCCCGATGGAAGTCTCAATCTTGGCAAAGCGCTCTTTGTTCTCAGCTTGATGCCCTTCATTGCCGGAAGCTGGATGGCTGTGGCTAAGCTGCATCTCCTCAAACTTCTGTTGCATGGCTGCTGTGAGCTCATCCTTCAGGCTACCTGTCACTTCCTGCAGGTGGCTTTTGCCAGAGCCAGTTGGCTTGACTGCAGCAGGTTTCCATGGGTCTTTGCCTGGCAGTGTCCAGGGGTCAAGCTGTGGGGCACTGGAAGATGTGGCTGCAGTGGAAGAGGCTTCTGAACGCAGGTGTTGCTGCGTCTTCACGGAGGCAATCATCTTGGGTGCGGGAGCTTGCTTGCTTTCCCTGGTGATCTCAGTGATGATGATCTCCCGCCCAAAGCCTGTGATGACATCTTGTGGTGGTGGTACAGCTGCCCCCACCTGCCATGACATGGCATCTGCACTCCCTTTCCCAGGCTGGAGAGGTTTGACTGCCCAGTCGATGTCTTGGAGCAGTTTAATGACCCCCCCTCTTTGAAGTCCATGAGGAAGGGGAAATAGCTGGAAGATGCGCTGGACTTGTGTGTTCACCCAAGTAGCATCGGGCTTGATCTGCTTGAAGGTTTGCTCCTCATGCTCTGCAAGAACTCGGAGTCCATATTTCTTCTTCATCCTGACAAGGCCAAGTGCATGGATGGTGGTTCTGCACGTATGCATAGCTTCATCATGAGTACGGGCAGGCAACCAGATGACCCGGTATCTTTCGTCATGACCTTTGTTCTTGTCGGACCTGGGTTCAAAGTAGATCCCCACTGCTCCACATTGCAGCAGCACATCTAGTATAGATGCTGGCACCCTGATGAAGACTCCAAAGACTTGAGCATCAAGTGCTGGTACTTTGCCACCCTCAAGTTTTGTGAACGTTCTTGACCAGATCTCCATCAGGATAGAGTCGAGGTCTTCATCAACCGCTGCATGAGACTTGGGACAATCTGCTCCGCATTCTTTGCCAGGACAAAATTGCAAGCGAGGCACTGCTTGGCAAAGTGCTCTGACTGGGGACTGTGTCAATTGTGACCATGCACCTTGATATTCATCACGGAAGATCTGAACTTTGACAACCTGAGTGCAGATTAATGCAGGTTGATCAAGGGCTCCTGGAATGTGCTGGGTGATCTGGATGTCCCCCAAGTTTTTGAATGCCCCGAAGATGAGTACTGGCTCACCGGTGCCTGTGTACTTGGCAGCGAATGATACCTCAGAGATGTCATGTTCGTCCATGTACGCCTTGGGTGGTCTCTCAGTGAGCAAGAGGGCCAAGGGCTTGGTGCTGATGGACTGCTTGGCTTGGAGGAAATGACGCCCTTGTGCCAGAGTGCAAATGGCTATTCCAGTAGCCTCTGCTTCAACTTCAGAAAATTGAATTTGTTCCACGATGTCATCATCAGTGTCCTGGAAGTTGGCACGAGTCAGGACCAAGAGCTCCGGGTCTGGGTTGAGCACAGGCATGGAGGATCTGCCTTCATGCTTCTTCTTCTTGTGCTTGGCGTTGTCCACATTGGCACCGAACTTATTCTTCGCCGTCTGGGTCACATGGCGAGAGAGTTCATCTGGTTGCACCAGTCGCAGGGAAATGGAAGGTCTGCTGGCTAAGGCTTTGAGGTAAGCCCAGCTGTTTTTGGCCTCAAAGGCTTCTTGCAGCAGCTCAGGTCCAATCTTTTGAAAAAGGAGTCGGACTCGTTCTGTGACTGCATCCGCTGGTACTCCGTGATACTGCAGCAGAGTGGCAAGCTTGGTTTGCAATTCAGCCTGAGATGAGGATCCATGAGCATAGATGCCACTCTGAGGTTGTTGGACTAGGAGCCATGAATGAAGCACTAGTGGATCGAAGTCCAAGTCCACACATGTCTGGCATAAATCCAAAGCCATCTGCACCAGTGCAATGGTGCCACATGTGTTTGGGTGGGCTTGTAAAAGTCCATTGCCCATGTGGATGCCACGAAAGACCAAATCCAGTGTGTGGCAAATCTTGATGGCCAGAGCCGCAGCTAAGAGGAGTTGTTGATCTTGTCGAAGTCCATCGTGGAGTGTCCAAGAAATCTCTTTTGACTGCTGCGGATGACCGACAAGAAGGAGCCAGTGACCCATGCTCTCAAAAATGACAAAGATGCTGCCATTCGAGAGTTGGTATCCATGTTGCCATGATTGACAGATGGTGTCTGGGAGGCTTTGCTGCATGAACTGGTGCATTCGGAAGGGATAAAAAATCCATGGCTTCCGATCTTCGTGGAGGATTGCATGATGATCTGCAAAGGCCTTCATGTAGTGCCAGATGATCTTGTCGCCCAGTCCTTGTGAAGAGGCTGTTCCTCGTCCAGTGATGTGGTCAGCTGCAAAGGTGCGCACTTGTGCGCTCTTCCGCAAGGTGATGGTGTAGATGATGTCTGCGTGAAGCAATGAGTCCAAAGCCAGTCGCTCTCCGTTGTGTTTGACAATGGCATAGTGCCCCCACCCACATAGGCTCTTCTCAGCTGCTGCCAAATCACGGACAGTCAAGGGCTTGGAGATGATCACCTCAGAGTAGATATCTTCGTCCTCCAGGTGCAGTGTAAGACATCTTGGCTGGTACATCATTGGGGTGATCCACTTTTGGAAGGAATGCACCACCAGGTGTTGTTGCAGAACTTTGAGGCACATTGATGGGTCAATTCCAGTCCAGCCCCATTCATGTTGCTGCAGTTGTGCCAAGATGTGGGATTGAATCCATAAGACCTGCAAGGGAGCTGCAATCTGTCCTAGCAGGCTCAGTGCTGAACGTGGTGGCATTGGGAATCGAAAATCTGGAGGGACTGTGCAAAGAAGAGCACCTTCTGCTGGATGTAGGTGTCTGCATCTGCCAGTGCACGCTGATAGAAGTCCAAATCCACGTGCGCCTCCTTGCCTCAGTCGTGCTTCACTGAAGGCTGCACGACATCCGCAGGGACAAGGCCGTCCCACATTGCCCCATGAGTGAAGCACTGTAGGTGCTTTGCCATCTGCTTGCAAAAGTCGCTGATCTGCTCCATATGCTGGGTCCATGTAGATGGTCATTTCATGCGTGTCCCATTCAAGTTGTTGCTCCTCTTCAGGACTCCAAATGGCATCAAGAGGCATCACGTCCTTGAGCTGCTGGAAGTCAGGCGATGTTGGCCATGGAGAGATAGTGGGTGCTGTGAAGTCCTTGTCAATCATGTAGCACCAGAACCTTTTGCGTCTCACCGGCCACTGGTGCTGGAGGTCAATGACCAGTTTGTTGCATGACATACCTGCATCTCGTGCGAATTTGTCAATGCATTCCTGGGTCTGGGCAAACTGAGTGACATTGTCAACGCATTCCAGGACCACCGCATTGGCCTGCATGAACCAGGCATAGCTGAGGATGAAGTAGAGGCTGTGGCTACGATGGTCATCAAGCCCCATCTGATCTCCTTGTCGGGAGTAGCCTTGGCATGGGAATCCGCCGGTAATCTCAAGGAAATCACCTGTTTTCTGGCGGAGAAGTTGCTTCAGGATCTCATCGTCTGCCAAATCCCCTTCATACACTGGGCCAGCAAAATTGGCTCGGAGAGCCATGCATGCTAAGGAATTGCGCTCAACGAATGCTTCTGTGTTCAGTCCAAGGATCTGAGACCCTAAAGAAAACCCTCCCATTCCGCTGCAAAGGTCAATCAGCGAATTTTTTTGAAATTTCTTTGGAGTTGGGTGCAACAAAGCTTCGGTGGAACTGACAAAACGACAGACATCAGGGTCCTCATCGCTCTTTTCCAAGTCGAAAAAGGTGTACTTGCCCTCTTCAAGAAACTTTGCATTCTGGACCCGAAATCTCTGAGGAGGAGACAGGCCAACACAGCTCAAAGATCCTTCATGTGACTGCTCAACAATGGCAACGATCTTGAACTTGCAACCAGGTGTGAGGTCTCGAATCAAGAGATCCATGGGAGTATGGGAAACGGTGTCTCTACTATTGGTTGATATCGGGTTCACCGCTGGAAGGTGTAGAGCCAGAACCTACTTGATGCTTGTTAAAAGCTGATTTCGGAACCGTTGGGAAACCCAAAATCCATGGAAGAGTAGCTTCCTTCCAGGAAGGAGACCAATGGGTTTTGGAGCTGGACCTAGATCCGGGCTATCTGCGGGCGGCAGAGGTTCCACAATTTGACGAAATGGCGAAAGCATTTTGAAGCTCTACCCAGTGCCAAGAGGGAGCTCGAGGCGACGGTTGGGGTCATGGCCCGGAAATTTCAACATTGCACCAATCAATGTACTGTAAAGCATCCTATTCTATCTCAAAGCATACACTGTATACCCATATGGGCTTTATGATGCTTTATGAATTTTGGTAGCCACAACGCCAAATAAAGGACCAAATCAATTGATGAGGACACATTTCCACCCTATCTCCACTCAGTCGCTGACGCAGAGTCCTGGTCTCCAGTTTTCATATGGGAAATCTGAAAATTTGCCGCTGAAAACCCAATTTTCATATGGGAAATGGACCTATTCCCATCCCCATCCCTCAAATCTCCGTGCAGGTCTACAGCATAGGTAGCCGTTGGAAGCCGGGCATGTCCCTGGGCGGTGACAAGCGCTTGGGTCCGCAGCTGCAGCGGCGTATCTTGGCGTTTCTGGCTGGAGAGGCGTCCCAGGAGGCGGTCAGCGGGAGCCTGGAGAAACGGCTGGAAGCGAAGGGGGCCACCACGGCCGGGAAGTTGGTGGTGCATGCGTGCCTTGGAGTTTTTGATGATGATGATGATGATCGATGTTGTTCTTAACTTTATTTTTCCTAATTTTCATGTTTTTTTTTAGGATGGTGGGGATGTGGATGATGGGGATGGGGGAGAGATTCGGAGAGATGAGTCGAAGGATGAAGATGATGACTTGACTAACTTGATTCAACTTGATGATGACTTGTTCTCTTTTTGTTGTTTGATTTTCCCCATACCTTTTCTGGCTTCGATGTTGCCCCCAGTCATTTCGAGGCAGAATGTGGTGGTGGCTGACGCCTTAGAGGATGCAGGCGGAGTAGCCAAAGCCTTGAGGGAAGTGGAGGATCCCACGAAAGCAGCAGTGGAACAATTCAGACAGTCCCTTGGTGGAGGCCCTCTGACAGTCATTGGAGAATCTACACATTTTCGGGGCAAAACATCTATGAAAGGGGTAAACTGGCAGATTTTTCCAGGCAGGTTAGATTGCAGTAGGGTAGCTGGTTCAAAGAGGACACATGGAGACCAAAGTCGGTCATTCGCAGAGAAAGTGGTGCGCAGTGATAGTCGCATGTTTTCTCAGTGTTGGAAGTGAATGGTCCAATTCTTCATAGCACGGTTGCTGAAGTCCATCGTTTGCTTTCTCTGGTGTCCTCCACCATAGTCGCACGAGGCATACAGACTGCTCTAGCATATTTTCCAACATGTGATCGCAGGTATATTTGACATATGTGAAAACCCAAGTCATTTGCCAAGTCCTTCTTTTTATCCCATTTTTTTGGGGGTAAAGCTATGCCACTGCACCTTGGATCCTTGAACCGACCTGGCCAGCGACGCTGAGGCTGTGGAGTTCGGGCAAGCTGCAGGCGCTCTACGCGGAGCGTTTGACGGGGTCCTCGGCATCGTCTGCGTCACTCTTCGGAGCGCTGCCTGAGATGAGTCCTGAGGATTTGGGGGGCTGGGGACTGGGGCAATTGGGGTAGTGATAGTGACTTTCTTTGGCAGTGGATCAGGATGATGATGGTGTTGATGATGGTGATGATGATGGTGATGGTGATTCTCAAGGCCATTGTTGTCGTTATATACTTGGATTGGTTGTGTTGTGGTGGTGGTTTCTCCACCAACCCACACCGCAGGCCCTGAGCGATCCCAGCATTCTGGTGGAGCTGGGGCTGTGGTCCGCGGCGCCAGAGGGCCGGGCTGCCCAGGATCAAGGGCCCAACCATGGGGGACACCACGAAATGACCAGTTTATAGTGAAATTATGGGAAAACTGATGAACAACCATAGGATCTTATGGGAAACATAAGAAAAATCATGGGATTTTGAGGTTTCAGAGTGTTTGGACACTTATACTTTGTATGCACGCTTCCCAAAAGTCTAAATAGGCAGGGAAGCCATTCTGGGCACTACCGTTCATCTTTGGAAAGGGTTCATGTTCCGATGGGATCTAGGAGAGCATGTTGCCAAGTAATTCGACCTTTCGCAAATGGAATTCAGGTTTTGATTCAGGTGGCATGGGGTTCCTGCTGGTGCCAAGTACGAAAAAAGACGAAAGACACGGTGGTGTTTGTGGATTTTTTCCCAAATGGGGATGGTTTCCTTAGGTTTCCGCCGCCTTGCCGCTGCCGCCTCGGACCCGCCCAGGTTGGGAACGGATGAAGAGCACCTGCCGCTACGGTGTGGACCGACGCGTCCTGGTGCGGGGCAAGGTGGGTACGAAGCCAGCAGATGCCAACTTCATGTGCCATGGCGACCCAGCCAGGTGGGGTTCAGTTGACCCTTGGGTGATGGTGAATGGATCTTCATGGGGGATGTCAATGGTGAATGGAGCAAAACAATGGGTCTTTCATGAACCGGGATGGTTCATTGGTGGTAAAATAAGAAACCAACCCCCAACCTTGCCAGAGGATGATGGTAATAACCATTCCAAATTGGTGGTTTATGATTGTGTTAAACCCATACTGTAGCATGGGGTTACTGTAAGTTGCTATTGATGGTTATACAGTTATACAAGTTATATGACTGACTGGTGCTACCATGTGCTACCCATCATGGATAGTTGCCACGGCCTAAGACTGGCTTAGGTCTTTGACGGAGAGTGGATCCGATCGTACAACTTCAAAAGCAGTGCTGAAGGGGAAGAAGGACAAAGATACCTGGCAACTCGCATCATGACCTGGAGAAACGCCGATCTTTGGCATTTGAGTGTAATGAGTCAGATGCTGTTGAGGTCTCAAACACCTTTCACACGGTTTTTGTGTGAAACAAAGGTACTTAACAATTTTTACTCCGAATTTCTTGGATGTTTCATGGTTTTGCCATATGTTGCCATGATTTCCCATTGAAGTTGCCATAAATTTGGGGCCCAATTCCCAATATTCCCAGGCTGGTGGACATCACGGCCGCAGATGGCGGCACCAAGAGCATGGAGGTTTCGAAGGCCGAGGTCTTGCGCGCCTTGGAAGAAGGGGCCGGGTCCCAATGGGCAAGTGCTCTGATGGTTGTTTTGGGGAAGCGGATTTCCATGGGTTTTTCATGGTTTTCCTTAGTTTTCCTTCGGTTTCCTTCGGTTTTGCTATGGCTTTCCATGGTTTTCCAAGAATTTGGCTTTGTCCAGAAATGGATATCGGATATTTTTCCACATCATGGCAAGTTTTGGGAAAAATGATGATCAACTCCATGGGATTTGGGGTACCGAAGGTTAGGGGTTGGTTTCTTGGTTTCCTAAGTGCACTGACAAACCCAAGACTAAGCCATACCTGATGCGGCCCAGAGAATGTTTTTTTGAGGATTCACAGTTCCGAAAAGTTAAAGAATCATCCAATTTCATGAAGGGGTAGTGGACCTTTTCTATCAATGCAGGCTCAGTATAACAGTCTTCGTTCCTTGTTTTATTGTATGCTTGTTTAGTCTTCCAAGGAGAAGCTGCAGAATTCGAACCTGTAGGATCACCGCGGATGAAACCAATCCAAATGATGGTGTTTGGGGGTATCTTTACAATCACTTTCAACCCATCTCAACAATTCCGCCATCAGAAGTGACTTTTCAGCCCAACTCTTTCATTTTCATGAGCACAAGATGCTGGGCCGTCTGGGCTTTAAATATCTCGGAGATCAAGGTCAAATGACCCCGCAAAGTTGACACTTATACAAGTGGCATCGTTTTCAGAACGTTCAGCAGGTTGATCCAGCTTTGAAATGACCCTCCCCATACGCCTCCAGCTTTGAATGCTTGCGAAATTGGACGGTTCCAAAAACCGACCCACTTTGTTGTTACCTCCAGTGCAATATGTGCAATTCGCGCCACCTGGAGCTGAGGATTGAACCAACGCCACAAGTTGTTGGCAAGCGGGAAGCATCTGCAGTTGGAAGACGGTCTCAAATGTCTTTGGGCGGCGCTGCCAGTCTTTGTGTCTTTTTTTGGGAACTTGAGCCAAGAATAGGATTTCAACCCAAAATGGTGGTTTGGCCAACCATGGGGGAAATCGCAGGATTTTTGCCACAACTTTCGCAGATGCCTAGGCTTCAATATATGTACCAATGTGCCAAATTCGAGACCAAACATAGAGTCACGGGAACAAACTGAGGGGCTACAGCCCCGGAAGCTATCTTTTTTGTTGTCTCAACTTGAAACGTGTTGTTTTTTGACGACCTTTGTTGCTGGCCATCCCCCCTTGCCGATGGATCTACCCTCAGCGAAGGTGACTATTCCTCGCCCTTGACGCGCGCCAAGTTGTGCGAGATCGCGTTGGCGCTGAGTCCGGTGGTGAAAGATCTGGATTTCAACACGGCAGATGGGGGCCAAGCAATGCAGCTTAAGGCGGTGGAAGTGATTCGCAAGTGTGGCTGGCCATGGGATGGTGGGATGGTGGGAACTGGTCAGATTTACCCATCCAGTTATGAAAGATGGCTATGGCTCGGTGAGAAAATATCGAACTCAGTGGATCTCAGGGGGTGATTTTCCAGCCATGTTTGATGACACCTGAGGATGGGAGATGGTGCTCTGCCTGGTTGATGTTGACAAAGTTTGTGTCCGGACTTGAGCCCTCCAAAACCCCCCAAACATCTCTAAGGACATTCGTTTCTCTTCCTGGCAAGGATGGTGGCACAGCATATTAGAATTGACCTCTATACAGTTGTTTTGTTCAGAGAATTGACCTTTAATTATACAGTTGTTTTTCGTTAAACTGTTAAACCCTTCCAAAAAGGACTAAAGTGACTAAATACATCCCTAGAAATCTTGGTTTGGCACTGGATTTATTCATTTGGTTTGTTTGTGAGGATATGTAATATTAAGGGAATGGCATTTGTCACATCTATTCACAAGGTTTTCCAGGACATCTCCTCAAAAAAGATGCGGCCATTTTTTATCCGGGCCTGCCCCAGGTGTCGAGACCAAATCCAGAGATTGATTATGATTAATTCATCATGTTGAGTTCAACTTTGAACCAAAGATCTTTTTTTTGTGTTTTCCAGGCGGTGTTTTTTGACCGCTTTCGTTTAAGGTCTAGACATCATCACCTTCCAGAAGGGCCTGGATCGCGGTCGCAGTCCCGCCATGTGCGATGACGTGGCCAAGTTGGCATGCCATGGGCAGGGGCATTGCCACACGGTGTCCTCAACGATGGCCGCCTTTCTGAACCCCTTCTGTCAGGTGCCACGGTGCCACGGCTTTTTTTGTGTTTTGGATTGGAATGTTTAAGGCTTGGAGTCTGGACTGGTAGAGATTTTGATAGGAATGAGAAGAAACTATACGGAGGAATACATAGATCGAGGAAAACCATGTGGTGAACGTCCGAAGTGAGTATTTTCTGATCAGTTTTGGGATGCTCGCTGCGGTTACCCGGATTGACAACCATGCCCAAGATCAGAATCTTTCAACAAACTTCTCCATTTTTCGGAACGTGGCTTGTTTGGCAGACAGCAAACATGTCTCGTGGATCATGTGGATCCTCACACCCATCACCCGGTTTTCTGTTCGTAGGTCCTTGGTATTGACATGAAGTATCGTGGTGGTTACTCCTGGGGCGGAGTCAACATGGGTGAACCAGCGGATGATACCGTGACCGTTGCAGACTCGCCAGCAACTTGCTGCATGCCCAGTATGCCATTTTGATCCATTTCGGAGATAGGAAAGTGCTTGTTTTGGATAATTCGAATGTTTGGCGCTAGGTTGAGCTGCATCAACTTCAGCCGTTATCTTCGCAAGTCATCAGTTTCGGCCTTTTGGACGTTGCTAAACGTTGTTTGACAAAGGCAGGCAGTTTCCCCAGCGCCACTGTGAGGAACGGCACCAGTGGCTGGAGTTAACGTTGCGACCTTCGTTGGAGAGCTATGTGTGCGATCTCTGGGTGGCTGATGCTGTTGGCAACGATGCCTTGCGTTGGCACATCACGGAGGACGGGGCTGCTGGACTTTGCTTCTTAGTGAAAACCCAAAGTACATAAAGACATGTGAAAAACCAGGCTTTGGGGCCCCCATGCTACCGAGCAAGCATATCAATGCCAATCTTGGTTGGAACGGACTGTCCTAACCTTTCCTCTGCAATGGATGTGTGCTTAAAGGGCAAGAAATGATCCATCAAGACATGGTACTTATCTCTTGCAGCTTGCCAAAACCTTCTTGCAGAGTTCCACGGCATTCATACGAGCCATGTACGGAGGCCTATCAAAACCGACTCTATCCCAATGGGAGCTTCAACACTGGCCAGCAGATTTGTCCAGAAAAGTCCTCAGATGTTGATTTGCCAGACCTTGATTTTCATTTTTAATTACATGATTTCATGTATCAAAAATAATCCTTTTCTAATTCCATTCTTGGCAAATTCTTTCAAAAAGAAGATTGTCCGATATTACTCGATTTTATTCCATTGAAAATATATCAAAAAAAATATTTTTAAAATAATTCCAAGAATATATTATATAATACTATATAATGATATATAGAATTTTGAAATTATATATTTAATTTAATATTGGATAATAGGGTCGGCCTGCTATTTCCAATAACGGGAAATTACGATACAAATAAAAATTAATATAAATAAGAAATAATATATATATATATATTAAAATAAATAAATATAATTCGAATTAATATATTAAATTAAATTAAAATATTATTATTTATATTTTATAAAAATAATTATTTATTATATATCTTAATTTTTAAATTTATAATGAACTAATAAAATAAATTAGAAATTAATAAATATAAAAATAAAAAATATAATTTTAAAATATTTTAATTTATTAAAATAAAATATATTATAATATTTTATATTAAATATTATTTAATAATATTAATTTATAAATCGAATTTTTTGAATTTATAATTAATTATATTTTATAAAAAATTAAATAGGATAAAACATATAATATTATGAATATATTTATTTATTACTAAAAAAAATAATTATATAATATATAAAATTATAATTTTATATTTAGATAAAATATTAGGAGATTTAATTGGATTTTTAATAATAATTATAATTATGAAAAAATAAATAAAAAAATATTTTTTATTTATTAATTTTAAATTATAAAATAATAATATAATTTATTATGAAATAATTAATAAATTTAGGAGATAAATAATTGTAATAATTATAATTTTATTAAGATACATATATCTTAGAAAAATAATATAAATATGAATAATAAATAATTACCGGTCGAAAATATTTAATTCTTTTTATAATATTAAATAATTTTTTTTATAATTAAAATATCCCCGATTTTTGAAGGTTTATGGCCTAAGATTTTATTTTATTAAAAAATTAAATATTAATGAGGAATAATTAGGAAATAAGGGTTCGATATAAATTATATAGTGAAATAAGGGGTCATTTTATAGATAAAAAGGGGGTTATTTTATAAAGGGATATAATCGGACAAGATTTTCTCAAGGAATGAAAAATTATAATTGGTATCATATTAAAAATTCTTATCGCAAAAAAAAACCCTTTGGCTTTCATTTCGCACACCTATCCATTTTGTAATGAGAAATTTAAAAGATGTATTTTTATTATAAAACATAATACCCATTTCATAGAAAACAATAATTATTTCATGGTGTCAATATATTTTTAGATTCTTATTTTATAGACATCGTCCACTGGACATAATCAAAGCGATTGGATAATAAGGAAATTTGAGATTCCATTATATAGTCCACCACTTTGGATAAATAAATATAAACAATTTTTGGTCCTTAATATAAAATGGAATCATTTTATATAAAATCTTGGTTTTACATTTTATAAAGAAAATAATTTAATTATGTATTTTATAATATCTATTCTTTCTATAAAATATTTTATAAATATTAAGGATATCAAGGACAGGGGAAATTATTATCAAAAATTAATTTCCAAAATAATTTCCCAAAATCGCATTTAAGAGGTTTCATCGAAAATTGCTCCAAAATTAATTCCAGAATTCTTCCCCAAAATAATTCCGAAAATAATTTTTAAAAATTAATTCAAAAAATATTTTCAAAAATTCTTTATAAAATAAAATCCTTTAATTTATTATAATTAATATATAATTATAAAACAATATTCCTAATTTTTTTTCCCAAATTACTAAGATATCCATTCGAGGTATATTAAAAAATATATATTCTTTTTATTTATTTAGGCATTTAATTTAATTTAAAATATTTAATAATAAAAAAAATATCTTTTAATAAATTAATTTTAAATATAATTTTAATTTATATAAAATAAATTATTAAAATTAATTCAAATTATTAATATCGCAATCAAATAATATATTAATATATTTATTTATTTTTATTTTTTTTAAAATATTTTATTAAATATATATTTTTATTAAATATAAAACCTAAAATATCTATAAATATAAAATAATATATTTCGAAATAATTAAATATATCATTATTATTATAAACAATTATTTTATTTTATAATTTAATATTAATATTATTTTTATATTTAAAATATTTTATTAATAAATCATATCAAATTAAAATACAAATATATATATTTATTTTAATCAAATATTATTAATTTTTAAATCCAAATTTATTTTTCCTCATAAATTTTAAATATATAAATATATAAATAATTATAATATTATCAATATTTTTTATAAATAATAATTAAATTAAATTTATATTAAATTTATTTTAATAAATTTACAATCTTTAATTATAATATAATATACATATAATTTCATTATATTTTTATTAAATATATAATATATTTATCAAAATAGATATTATTATTATTATTAAATTTTTAAAATATATATTATTTATTATATAATTTATTATTATATTAATATAAAATAATATTAACACAATATTTTTTAAAACTATTTTCTTATTACAATTTAATATTTGATAAACATATATTTTAATAATAATATGACGATGGTCCTTTAATTCAAACCGCAAGATTGTGATATATAATTATGTTAACGATTCCAAGATATTGACAATCTATATCAATCTATGAATATCTGTAAACATAATATTAATATATATTAATTACATCATTTACCTAATGTTGAAGCATCATCTACCTATCTACTAACAGCAGTTGTCTAATCTCAGCTGACGACCTCTGACGACCTCCAGTCTATCAACAAACACCGCAAGAAAAAAGGATTTTTCGAAGTTCTGGATTGTATGTATCAGTAAGACGTGATGCTTTGAATCTTTTGGGTCCTGAGTCCCAAGTATCATCAAGTATCATCAAGTATCATCAAGTATCTACAATCTTTTGTCTCTAAAGGAGATCAAACAAAACCAATTCATGATTTTCATTCAAACCAAACTCGTATTAAATGTTTCCATTCCACCTTTCAAACAGCCATCGATCGATTTTGGCCCATCTTGGGCACAGCTTCAGGTGCTCATCATGTTGCGATTGATCAATTGTTTTCCACAATCAAACATGTGGAATGTTCAAATGGATGAATTCTTTAAGCATCAGCAGAACTGCATTCTTGTGTCAGCTTTCAACCTTCTTTGAAACAAACACTTTTTGTATCAGGTCGCAAGATATGCAAGATTCGGAACCCTCGCATCAAGATATTCGTGATGCGTCAACTTCCGGCTAAATTGCTGCCATCCAGGACCAGTTTATGGTGGCCTGAGCCTGTGCCACCCACTGGAAATGCTGACCTGAACAATCACATGGTTGGGGCAAAAATCTCTAGCGCTTTATCAAAGCCTTGAACATATTGAGATAGTCGGATCTTCCCAGGACATCACAAAAACATCACCCCAACCGGGACACTCCATGGGTCAACCATTGGGGCGAGCTCAGCCTCGAGGGCCTGGAGCCTAGTGACATCGGTGCACTGCGATTCCCCAACTGATGGGCTCCAGGTTCGAGCTCCGCTGCCTCTGCCTACGCTCAGAACTTGCCTCTGGCGCCTGAAGTGATGCCGGAGCCGTTGAAGCTAAGGTAGTCACGTGGCTGTACTGACATACCTTAATTCATTTGGCAGTACTTCACCGCTAGATAAGAGTTGGTCAACTCACCCCGGATAGCAACCTCCCTGGATCCCATGGCCTTTCGCTTGTGGTGACGCCTGCAACGGGGGCGTCAAAAGGGCCAGGGTCCTAATGTCAATGCAATTTGTGCGTGAATGGTAGGTTTCCCTCAACATCGAGTTCTTGCATTCTTTAGAGATCCCGAACCCAGTCGGGCACTGGGAGCAGATTTGCCCATGCTTTCATTTTAGATGAGTTACAATAAACTCCCAAAACTGCTACTAGAACCAGTGTAATATCCAAAGTCATATCTATTTATCTCCCTCCCTCCCTCCCTATCTATCTATCTATCTTTCTTTCTATCTATCTACCTATCTACCTATCTATCCTATCTATCCCATCTATCTTATCTATCCTATCTATCCTATCTATCCTATCTATCCTATCTATCCTATCTATCCTATCTATCCTATCTATCCTATCTATTCTATCTATTCTATCTATTCTATCTATTCTATCTATTCTATCTATTCTATTCTATTCTATTTTATTCTATTCTATCTATTCTATTCTAATCTAATCTATTCTATTCTATTCTATCTATTCTATTCTATTCTATTCTAATCTAATCTAATCCTATCTATCTATCTATCTATCTATCTATAATATATATATATAATATACACATACAAACATCCCTATTCATTGGTTTTCATATTGAATTAAATAATTCTACCCAAAGCAACACCAACCACCACCAGCACCGCACCGGGGCACCCTCTTTGGCACCTGGGTTCCATGACCCGCAGTAGCAGCCGCTGCGCGCGGCGCTTCGCGTAGCCATAGGACCGCTGTAGCCGTGCTTCACGCAGCGAAGCGCTGGTCGCCTGGTGACATGGCGACGTGAGGCAGATGGGAACCCTGAAAATGCAGGGAAAATGCAGGGAAAATGCAGGGGAAATGGTGATTTAATGGGATTTGATGGTGATTTGATGGGATTTGATAGGATTTGATGGTGATTTGATGGTGATTTGATGGGATTTGATGGGATTTGATGGTGATTTGATGGGATTTGATAAGGATACTTGATGGGATACCCTCTGGTAATTTGTTACATAGCTACCGGAAATCACCATTTAAATCATCTATACATGGACCACTTTCTATAGCTATGTTGAATTACCAGAGCGTTTTGTATCGCACTTGGTTATTTATGTACAATTCGGGATAATTCGGGTATGAATTTAAATTGAATTATATGACGGTTACATATACCAATTCGATCCAGTTGGGATAAGTTTCATTTCTCATTGGTAACTGGTTACTCAGTCATCTCTAATTGGTAGTTGGGGCAATTATTGTTATATACTTGTAAATTCAGTTTCTGCTTGGCAATTGGGGCAAAAACAAACAGGTCTCCAGAGTCAGGGTATAAACATTACCCCTTATACTTTTTAATGACATGCTCTATTTTTTATGGGAAGTTATGTATCAAGTCAAGAGGTGATGGCCGTTTTCATGGTGTTAGGAGGATTTTATGTTTATCTGTGCGGGAGTTGCTATAATTGATGTAAGCGCGGCACATATGGTTCCTCCAAAATACGAATGACAATTTTATTGCTAGTATTTGCAGAGCTTGCATATATATATATTACTGTATATGTACGCATATTTGCAAATATGTTTACACATGTCTGTATGTAATGTTTTTTTTTAGGTAATGCAACTTTATGTGATTTGATCTAATGCAATGTAATTTGTTACGTAGTGTAGCATAATGTAATGTATGTACCAACAAACATGGAGGTTCTGCCATCAACTAATGCTGGTTTTATCAAATCATGTTGACACAACTGTACAGTATAACGTATACCATGGGTGTTGAGAAAACATATCGTTGTTGGCTCATTATGAACCAACACATTATGGGTGTTTACCCATTGTTGGCGTTTCACTTCCTTTTCGTTGGTTCGCCACCCATCAGTATGGGTCAATCCCCAATATGTGCTTATTCCAACGGGGGTATAGGGCATCCATCATTCTGGGAGCAGCCAAAGCATGGTCAATCTCATTTTTTCACTCATCTTCCGCTTGTTTTTCTGGCATGGGTCAGTCAGTCCTGAAAGCAAATGTAGAGGCCTGCTGTGTATAGCATTCCCATCCACTCACCTGAATAAATTGTGAGGTAGACCTTGAATGGGCCTAAAATGGGCTAAACATGCCCAGTCATTCAGCAGGTCAACACAACAAGGTTCATAATATAGTCAGAACTGCTAAGGGCTCATTTTTATACGAACTCTACAGTGCTCACTTCGATGCCAATGCCACTATCATGTTGTAAAACCAATAGCGCACCATCCCCAGTTTCATCAGAAATGGCTGGTATAAAGTATAGATCCTCCAAAATTGGAGTTTTATGGCAGGTGGATCCCACTTTACAACTACCATACTTAGGTTTACCAGTTTACCGTATGTTAACTGCGGAAAAATCTCCCCACCGCCGATGCTTCCCACCGCCGAAACGCGAAGCCCCGGGCGCCCCGGGCCTTCCGAAGACGTCGGCTGCGATCCGCCACATCTCCCAACCGGGCGAGCCGCTGGACTTCCTCCGCCTGAAGAACCACTAAACAGGTGAGATGTGAAAAGTCCTTTAACAACTCCGGATGAAGGTCAGAATAGGTGAGAAACCTGGGTTGTGAGTCTGGACATGCTTGAGAAAACATAAGAACATCTAGATGTCAAGTCCTGCAAAACTCCTGTTTTGGGGTGGTTTCTGCCTGCGTGCTGTTTAAAAAAGCGCTGAACTTCAGGGTTCGTCCCAGTGGAAGCACTTTCAACCAGTTCGTACCAGACATCTACAACCAAGATGTGAAACAATTTCTGCCCAAGTTTCCTGGTCAAAATATTGAAGCGTTCTTGTGGATTTCGGTGGAGTGTGACATAGAATGTGGAGCAGCGGCTTGACTATATACTAGGGACACGTACCCATATTCATGTACAGCTATTTAAATTGGTGTATGATTTTCCATCTAATGACTAAAATATCTATGTTCACTCATATATATATATATACATTGATCTGAATTGTATATAACTGTATAAATATAAGTGGCAAACCCAATAGTAAACCAACCCCACAACAATCACAAATGGTTGGCATAAACCCCAATGGTAGGTTTATTATTGGGTTTACCCTATGAATATATATATATATACATACATATATACATAGTCATCCTGGAGTAGATAGAATATGGAAATTTCAAAAGATCCGGACAAAAAAATATATCTGCCTGAAAATCCCATATTCTATCTACTTCAAGATGATGATATACGCATATATATATATGTATATACATATTATATGATATATATATGATATATATAATTATATATATATATGTATATGTATATATATATATATGTATATGTATATGTATATGTATATACATGTGGCAAAGTCTCATCAATGATACACATCTTAAACATCTTCGAAAAGGACGGCAGGCCCTCTTCCACACCGCGGCACACTGCGACGGCGGTGCTGAAACTGCAAAGGCCGCGCCAAACGCTGCCAGTCCTCGAGCTGGGCGTTGCGCAAGGGCCGCAAGGGCTGTTGGGGAGACATGACGATATACAAACCATTGGAATATAGTTTATACTGGGATATTATATGGATAATTGAGGATATCAACCAGCAACTTAGGACTGCAACAGCATATGTCCAATGGACTGTTTTTTTTTTACTAGCGGGATTAGTTGGAATTATATACTTCATTCAGTTGCGATATTGTATAATTTGCCAACATGGTAAGGCACCAGAATATGATGTTAATAATTGTACTTGTCCAAGGAGGGTGAGTGGATGCCCGAACTTTAGGGATATAGAATTCAGATCTATGGGGACCACATCACTCCTTCCTAAGACCTTTGTCCTAAGTTTACTTCAGACCTCAAAATCAGACTTCAATCACCCAGGGGCCTCTACTTCTGTTGGATCACCCAGCGTTGTGAAAACCCAAAAAAACGAGCCACCACTGGGATGATTCTCTCCCCCGAAGCACCACTTATATTGGTCAATATCCATATTATATGATCCCAGGACCAACTTAGCAACTTAGGGGATATCCATATTATATGATCCCAACTTAGGTCAATATCCATACTATATGGACATCATTATCCAACATCATATGGCAACAATCCATCCACCATGGCTACCCCACGAGGATTGAAACAATCCCCAGCGAACTCAAATCTCCATGGCTTGGCTTGGCTTGTTCGGGGATTTTCCTGCCTGCCACCTGCCTCGTTGTTTTCGGAGTCACCGGTAACGGGTACATAATTCCATCAATAAGCATGAAACACCATCACTAATTATCATTAGTAGGATTTAGTAGGTATGTTTACTATTTGGTAAACACCACATGGCTGTATACATGATATTGTCGTAACATTTTCCATGAAACATCATGAGAACCACCATAATCATAATCTATCACACTCACCATTAACAATCATTAAATATCATTAATGATCCATAATCACCATGTTAATTATCATTAATTATCCATGATCACCATTAACAATCATTAACTATCATGATCGCAATCTGTGGAACAGTCACACTGTGTCTCATCATTAATTATCCATGATCACTGACTGAACAATCTCATGGGGGGTCATCATTATCGTCAATTGTCATTATCATATCATTATCACCATTAATCATAATCATAACCATAATCATATTCATGATCATAATCATCATCATCACCTGGTTATCTACTACTTAAATATCCAAGAATATCCAATAATCATAATCTGGTTAAACCATGTTAAACCATAATATCAAATTATCCATGTGTAATCACCACAATGTCCCAACATCATCCACAACCACCCCCTCCACGCCAGGTCGCCATCCACAGCGCTCGGATGCTCTGCCACCCCGCAGCCTCTGCTGCTTCAGCCTCGCGCCTGGAGAAACGAAAGGGTCACCTGCCCCGGTAGATGAATATGAACATCTCCTGACAACTCCATGAAAACCGTGTGAAAACTCACATCTATAGGGTTGAAAAAAACAACTAATATGAAAAGAGAGTCTTTTGGTCTGAAAAAGGGGTCAAAACCATCACTTCCTGGAGACTTTGGGTTCCAAAATCCATCATTTTTCGACACGATCCAAGATTTCGGGTCAGTAGACAGTCTCCAATTCGGCTGCTTAAACATGGTGACACCATCCAGTTCTTGGGTCAAGAAAGGGGTGAGCTACTATCACCATGATTCAACATCTGTATTTGGATTCACTCCCAATTATTGTTGGGTGAATTCCACATACCAGCCTGGAAAGCGCGTGATAATAGCAACAAACATGGGAATGTGGGGTCAGCTAAAGACTTGTAACTAGCGGCACCGTAAGATGTCATGAACCTGAAGATCGATTTTGCAGGTCTGCCTTTGCTGGAAACTCTGTGGGTTTGCAGCTTCGAACAAAGCCAGGAATCCTTGTATTGTTGGTCATTGCAGCCCCTTCTCAACGCTGAACGTCTGTGGACTTGCCAATTAACGTCAGCATTAGGACAAAACATGTCCAAAATATGGTTCGTTTCCAGGTCAAGCATTGGCTTAACAACTGTCAAGTCCAACTTTGTCTTTGTTAACGCACCGATTTTGCTTCCAATTTTTGCTGCTAAATTCCCAAGTTGTCCATGTCACATCCACCAAATCCCTAAGAATTCATCTCAGAGATCATCAAAGTCACCTTGTTTTTTTTTAAAAGTTTATAGTAATATTCCATAATGTTACCGCAAACATATTGTCATAAACACATATTATCAGTATTGCTTTGCAAGATCCAACATTTTTGCTGGTTTTCATCTTGTCAAACAAAGGCTATACCAAAATCACTTGGGGGTTCTGAAGTCGTGGGGGATCCCCAGTCGTCACCATGGCTGTCAATACTAAGTCATAGTCATCCATGACTGGATGATTTGGTGGTACCCCCATGACTTAGAAAACCTCCATATATATATATTTATACACGATGGCCAATGATATTATTATAGCATAACAACTATATGACATTATATGACTATATCAATTGTGATTACAATCACAATTTATTAATTGTGATTACAATCACAATTTATTAATTGTGATTACAATCACAACTTGACAATAATATCATATAATATCATATACAGTAATGATATCAATCATGTAATGGTCCAACATCATCGCTGTTGAAGCTGCCTCCAGCGCAGCGTCTCGTGCAGGCTGCGGAAGGTGGGCGATTCTAAGGCGCGACCCAACCAGCGACGAGCGTCGAGGGTCACCTCGAGACGTTTCGGCGAGGGGAGAGTTGACCAACAAATGGTGATTTAACATGGGTTAACTCTATGGGTATGGGTCAAAATTAGGTACCCCAATAATTGGATGGTTAATACTAAACTAGACTAACATCTGTGGTCCCCTAGGTCTTCCATTTTGACCCACATCCCTATGGGTTTAACTGAAGAAATGGTTGTCTTAACTTGATTTATCTGTTAGATGATGATAGATGACTTAACTAAATTTTAACTGTTAGATGATAGATGATAGATGTTTATGACGATAACACTTGGGGAGATTATGTGAGACTCAATGAGCAACAATGGAGACAAGGGGGGTTTGTTTGACCCGTAAAAAATGGGGTAGAATCATGTTAGATCCCCGATACTAGTAGATGGGAAAAATGGGTCGTTTCTTTTAAGACACATATCGTGCTTTGGAGGATTTTCGAAATTGACCCATAGAATGGTGGATTTTGACACCGTAGAAGGGAAAACGATTGAAAGACAATCCTAATGGATAGCCATGTGTTCCAACGATGAAATCCTATGGTCGATTTCACCGCCGGAAAGAATCCCAAATGGCAAGTTTGAGTGGGAAACTTGTCTTCCACTCCCTCTGTTCGTCATTTTTCCACGACTTTCATGGGGCTTTAGGTGTAAAACCCATGCTGGTTGCCCAACTGCGCCGGGACACGACGAAGCTGGCAGAGCCAAAAGCTTCTGCGGCAGCAACCAGCCTGGACAATGGAAGGCTTGCCTGTGGATGGTAGGGATATGTAGGGATTATGGAAAATCATGGAAATGTACAGCATTGGATCTATTCAATCTGTTCATTGTGGCCCAACAGTTGGGGGGTATGTAATACTAGTGGGATTGCAAGAATTGGTTGACGATGGTTTAAGGATGTTGAAGGGAACTTTTCAAGAACACTGTTCCAAGATGTTCCACAGTATACTTTGTGACCCAGTTGACTTGGGAAACTCGTCGTGTCTTGCCTTTGCCACATTTCACAGCAATCTCTTTGGTTCGGTAATGTATGGTAATGTCAATAGCCTCTCAAGATCTCTCAAGAACCATCAAGAATTCAAACCCAACATGTTGCCTCACTTCATATCTGTCCATGTCCGTTCATGTCCTTACAGTGACAATGCTGGCTCTGAAAAAACACCAATTTCAAGTTGTTGTTCATTTATGGATGGTATATATTCCGGGAAAGGACGGGGATTTTCCCTTTGACGGGTTCAACTACCAGAGGGTACATCCTCATTCTGATTAATTAAATCTCTCTGCTTTGTTGGTTATATCACGATTCTTGCAGGTTAAATCACATTTTTGGATGGATAGACCATGGTAGGTCCCCTTTTTTGATGGTTAACTCATCATTTTTCATGATTAGATCCCCATCTCTACCATTCTCTACCCATGTCCAGGACCCACCCAGCCTTTGTTCCAGGTTGCCACTTGCGCTCATGCTCTGTCGCAGTCGACTAAGGAGGCTCAATGCCTGCGCGCTCAGCAGCTTGGTCAAAATTCTGGGAACCCCGGAGAAGATGTACATGGATCCCTGGGACTCAATCCCAATCTGTGTCCCATGGGACACAGACGATTCACGGTGCAATTTACCGTTTGGATTTGCATGATTTAGACATGGATCAATGGATGTCATGGAGCCAATGAGGGTAGTTTAACCATCGTACATACATGGGGACGTGTGTTCATTGGACTGGTTTAAGGCACCATCTTAACCGCAAACCGTTGCTTTTACTCATTATCAAATTGGTTTCCCCATCGTCCAATTCTGGGATTATAGCAACATCCAAAAAGATTCAGAACAGGTTCTAGTATGTTCTAATCACCAAACTATGTTGACATGGATTTTACTATATTTTATTCATTTTTGTTTTTTTGTTTGCTATAAAGATTATAAAGTAAACCAAGGGTGTCTTGAATTGCAAAGTGGCTAGCGGCTAGTGATTTTTGCAGATTTTATTATCCACCAATTCTGGGATGTGAATTTTGAGATTTTTGGCATTCTGTCTCTTGATCTTTTCGAATTTCCAGCCTCCTCCCGCCGCTGGACGCTCCCAGAGCGCACTAGGACGCCACCGATTTGGCAACGCGCCTGGGTGATGCCATTGGGGTTGTCTCAAAACAAACAATAACCTGAGGTTCAATGGTTCAACGGCCCAAACAAATAATCTTGTTGCCCAACACATATTAGTTTGGCTACTTTTGGCTACATAATCATGATAAGTACAGCCTGAATTGGATCCATGACAGACCAAGAATGGAAAACACACATGCGGGTTCATCCTGCAAAGATGGTGATGGGACGCGAATGAGGATGGGACAGGGATTGGTTGGTGGCTAAGCCGCCTTCAACAAATATCTAGCCACGCACCCAAGGAGAGAACAACGAGATGTAACAAACCAGAGCTTTTGCAGAGACCGTCCATTGCAGGTCTGGTCACACGGAAGGAATTTGCAAAGCAAGCTGCGGCAAGCTGGGCATTTGAAGAAACCAGAACCGAATCTGCTTGGAACCTGAAATCCCCACAGCTGGTATCAAAGCCAGACATCGCCAGCTGAGGTCTGAGGTCATGGCGCGGTGATATTGTCTGGAACTGGTTCGGATGGTCCAGATGTTTCCTGCGGGCGCCATGGTTTTGAGGTGTGGCGGTTTTGATGGCGCAAGCTGGTACCACTACTATCCACTACTCTAATTCTACTAATCAGCACCGACAGTTACTTTCTGGAAGGACCAGAATAATAGCCACTTTGTATTGTTGTCTGTAACACGTCGCCAAAAACGGAGTGGGAAAGATGAGACCCTCCTAGCAAACCTTCCGACCCAAACCTGGGAAATGTTGTCTTAAATCTCCAAAAATCATCTCATCAATTCTCATCATACAATTGATTCCATCTCTGAATGCATCTCTGGTACCCTCTGGTTATTTAACAGTTCGCCATGGAAGCCATGACCCATAGAAATAGATGATTTTCCCAGCTAGAAACCTCCATTTATAGATGACTTTCCCATTAAAACCTCCATTTATAGGGGATTTTCCATGGCTATGTGAGTCATAACCAGAGGGTAAGTCATGGCCCAGACATTTTTGGCCGATTCTGGACCCAGATGGCGGCCTTCTGACACGGACCGAGCTGGCACCTGGGACGCGTTATGCTACGCGTAAGCTGCTAGGGACGACGTGCGGAACCAAGAAAGATGGTGGTATGAAACATGGGGATTTAATAAGACAAAATCGTAATATCATGGGATACATAATGATACATAACGATCTATAACCAACAATGTCATATGCGGCTTGGTCTAAGAACTTAGGGGAACACCCCATCCACTGATCATGATGATATTGAAATTGCCATGGTCATCATAGTGGGATGTTCGATACCGATGGAACAATGAACATTACACCCTGGTAAATTAACAGTTGGACCCTGAAAATCACCAATTTTTAATGGAAACTAGTCTTCCAACCCCTATCTGCCAGGGTTTTATGTTAATTTACCAAAGGGTAAGACACAGACTAGGAGAGATCGCAGTACTCAAATTGCTTCGGATATCCGTGACCTCTGGTAGGACACTGTAGCAGGTTGGAGGACAAAGATGCAGATTGGACGCCACTTGACGGCAAGGGCAGAGACATCTCGGGTAGTCGCTACAGATTCAGGGCTTTGACATAGTAAAACTGTCAGGTTACAACACTCTGGTGATTCAACCTTGTACGGAAGAAGTTGCCATTGGTGGATGATTTCCCTTTTGGATCCTTTTGGAACATTCGAACATCACTGGACTTTGTGTGGATATTCCATCAAGTTCCATGACCAAACGGCATTCCTCCCAGCCTGCATCATGGAACGTCTGCCAAGCGTCCCTGCAATGCCGTGGAACGTTTCACATGGTGTCAGCTCCATTTTTGGTGAACTCCAGACTGGTTGAAACATGTTGAAACCACCAGAAATGGTACGTGACTGATCTGCTTGGTGGATCACGTGTCAGTTTGGAAACACCTGGGCCCCTTACTTTCCAGATTTTCCTTCTTACAGCAACTCAGCATCCCATCGGAAACCTTGTGATGCCCCCCTAGGGATGGCAAACCTCTCCGCCGCACAGCCCGGCCTCTGCGCCCCTGTGCCTGTGACCAGCAGCTCAGCAGTGGCAGCAGAGAGGGCTTAGTATTTCTCAGGTCGTCATGTATCTCACAATGCGATAGGCCATCATCACTTCTACATGAGGCGCCCTTTCCAAGACAACAAGGAATTTCTGAATGAAGAACGACACACCTGGTAGTACCATCAGCTTCAAACCCATCGCCCAGCTGCCTCCATAAAGCTGACAAGCTCATTTCTGAGTTCCTTCGAAAGACCTGGCTGCATGATTTGGTTGCCCTGCTCTCGCTGTTCGGAGAAACGCCAAGACTTTAAGACCAAATGCATTAAGAAATCATAGTTTCAGAAGTCTTGCCTGACTTGGTCGTGGGCTAATGAATACGGTCCTGAAATGTCCTGAATATCTACCACCTTGCGCCAAGGCAGAGAATGAATCACCAAATTCGTAAAACATGGCAGGGCTCTCCAGCAATCCCGGATCCTATTCATCGCTGGGGATCATCCCAGGGTAGAAAACAGATGATGAACAAAAAACAAAATATGCGAAAAGCGCGAACCAGAATAGTTCCAACATGGAAAGCATGGCATATTTCCTGAAACATCTGCTGAGTTGCGATCGGTCCGCACCTTCAATGGCCCTGCGTCGGGTGTCTGCAGACATGGCCTGAAGCCATGGTTGAGCCACTCTTGGCCCAAGATCGCGTGTCTTTCATCAACAATCTGTGGGAATCTATCTACATGTTGATAACTTTATAGAATTAGAACACATGGATACTCGGAGATTATATATATACATAACCAGTATATTACCCGACAGTGCTCTAGATGATGATTTTAAGCCGTCCTGAAAATCTCTGTGTTTGGACTGGTATCATCCTCCCATGGAAACTCCGTGGAATTCCTCCCCGATCGCAGCCAGCTGTAGCTGCAACATTGGGAATGTGCTTCCACCTCCAGGTTGGTATAATGCCCTGGCAACAATAAACATCTAAAACAATCAACTAAGAGAGCTTCGGCATTGCTTATCTGAAGAACGGAGCCATTTCTAGCTGGTGGGAAGACCTTGAGGATTATTTTTTTGTCTATATTAAGATCTCTTAACACTGCTCACACAATACAAGCACTAGAAGGATGACACACACACACAACACACACACACAAACACACACGACACACCTACACGCGACATCATGATGGAATTCTACACATAAATATACTACATGTGTCATGTGTAGCAGGTGCAAGTCATCTTAAGGAATTGTTTCTGGCATATTTCCCGATACCATGGGACTGTGTAAATCCCTCATCTCCATGTACCGCTCAAGCCTCTAAGGAGCTTCGCAAACGAGCAAGTGCCACTTCCAATGGCCTGTGGAAGCCATGTGACAAGACCCAGGGCGGATATTGGTGGCTTTACTACGAACCAAAGCATCCAAAAAATTGGAGCAAGACAATCCATTTCGTTGGGTATCCAATTCTGACACGTATGATCCAGTAAGTATATAATTATAAGATATTATAAGTATGTACACGGTTTGGTCTTGAGGGGTTCATCCTATGATTCACCGCATCTACTGCCGCTGGGTTGAAACTTGGAGTTGATTGTTTGAAACAGATTGGCATATCAACTCGTTTACCAGGGGGGTAAACGTTCCATTTTTGGACTGAAATAACCTACCAGTCAGCTTATCTCAGCTGCCGATGATATATCTTCCCCCCTGCTGTCAGCCGCCTCATAGGATTCAATCGTTTCACTCCTGCGGTTGACATTAAACATGAATCCGGAGACGGTTGAAACTGAGGGGCCAAGGGATACGAGGTATTGATCCGATCCACCCGAAAATTGACATGTCCTTGGATCATGCGGGCTTGTCTGAAAATTTAGGGAAAACCCAAGAATCCCATGGTTCGTCATCCTTTTCAGCGTTAACCTCGCCGTAAATAGAGGGGTAAGTACCGCAATGTCAGCAACACCCATGTAGTGGGCGAATGAAAAAACGACCAGTCTTTGATCATGGCTCTGAACTGGCCTTGGAATGGGGTACCAACATGAACGAACGCATGGCTGACCATCTTCTGAAATTCAACTGAAATTCAACCATATTGAACCCTCCAACAAATTGAACATACTTTTGGTCAAAAGACATAATTGCACCACCCAAGTAACAATATCCTAGCTGTCTAAAGCAACATCACAGTTCGATATGTATATATATATATAATTATATATATAATGTTATCATCAAACCATATTCAACCATATTCAGCCACATCTAACAATCTCTGATGTTTATCCGAAAAACATTCACATGGGAATCAGCTACACTTTCAGCCACAATATGCCATCGGAAGTGACGACAGCCACATTCGCCTCGACCAGCTGCACCCTTCGCGTCGGCCTTCATGACCTGGAAGGTGTCGAGCTAATCTCCGTCTGATACTTTAAAGTAACAATGGAATATCCACCAAAAGTATCAGAAGCCATGGCTTTTGAACAATGGTGGATTTTCCATTGTTACAAGAAAAAGCCATGGTTTTTTTTGGTCAATCATTGAACTCAGCCATGGCACCACCGATGTGTCAAAAAATGACCTGGGTACCACCGATGGTTTCCGTAGTGAATTTTCCAAGTCTAGGTCAGTCAGTGAGGGTCCCTAGTTCACACAAACGGTTGATGGTTTTTGCGGGGTTTGACCCCCAAACATAGCGTGGTCTAAACTCTCTAAACACAAGCAAAACTTGGGGGTTCTCTGGACGTATCAGGTCAGAATCCAATAACATACCCGTTTCCACATATTTGACATGTGATGTTATTGGATTTTTCCGCAATAATACCATACAATATCGGATACTAGTATGGTGAAAACTCCAATAATGACATCAAGAATGAATGATTTTTCAACCCCCGGATTCGTAAAGACTGATCAATCAGGGGGTTCAAACCCCAACCAACAAGGGACACCGGATAATAATTCCATACATGGCTAACACAATCCTTGCTTTTTTAAAATAAGAATTCAGACATATTCTACTGTGTTCTTCTACTGTATCCAATCATGTTGCAATATCTTTGATCACAGTTCCCAAGTCCCAAAAAAAACGATGATCCACACCTGGTGAAATGAGCTACAGTACGTGATACCACATTGTGTGACCGTACAAATGTGAGACAACAAACACACATAAAGACTACAGTACACTTATGTACAATTATATAATATAATAATCACTAAAGTTCTGCACTTCTTGTAGATTCTGCTTCAATTCAGACATATCTTTTGCACATCCTTATCCATTTGCTCCTGTCACCCCCCCAGCCTCGTAGCGTGGGACTGTCCGTCAGCGCCTGGCTGTGGGTTGCCACGAGCGACACTGAGAATCGTCCTATTGGGATCTATTGGGTATGGTGGGTGCTCAAACATTTAGAACCTCTTTGGACCCCACAAATTCAAATACCCTCTGGTAATTTAACCTAGCTATTGAAAATGACCATAGAAATAGTGGATTGTCCCATTAAAAATGGTGGATCTTTCCATAGTTATGTAAACGTTTACCAGAGGGTAACTGGTAATTCTTATCAATTCTTGGTATCTCATCCCAAAGTGGGTCAGAAAACAGCCATCCTGGAGCCACTAAGGCAGGCACTGTGGCGCCGGATTCAATCCCTATCGCCTCAGCTTTCAACGACATCAGCCGGTGGAACACTTGGAGTCAAACATCAGCATCAAACGGGGCATCAAACAGACAAAACTCTACCCCCAAACTTTGGTGCTTATCTTAGTGCCCCTATTTTATCCTATTTTTAGTACCCCATGACCTTGAAGTCAATTCAGAGAAAAATTCTGGCAAGGTAAATCCTGAGCTTCTGACTATCACGGTCATCATCATCATCAACTCAGATGCAGGGGGACTTTGAAACTTGTCATTTCCGAGCAATGGATTGATGTCCAAGCCGATTTCAGAAAAACAAACTACCAAGACCCCAGTGCCCAGTGGTCATGCTTTCCACACTCAACGATAGACCTCTTGGACAAAGCATTACTATGCAATTCTCATCTCTTTCCCGCCAAAAAGCACCGTCCATGGCCAACCCAATGCATCGCAGTGGCTATCCGTATCGTTATCGCTATCCTGGTCCTGATTGAGGCCTGAAGCGAAGCGTGGGCACACATGAGCCCCGAATTTTCAAGAATTTTCAAGTGCAAGTGCCATCATTTCACCACTTGCAGTCATGGGAAAGCAATAAAATCTGGTTGGTGATGTTTCAACCAATCCTGAAAAAGGTCAGCATTTTTTGAAGCACATGAAGCCACAGAACCGTGTACACCCTCAAGCCACCGGACAGAGGTAGCTGTGTGGTGGCAACTGGATCATGAAGAGCGACTGAAGCAGAGGCATGAGTCGCTGCCAGTATGGGGTGGACAACCTCCAAGTCGGGACTCCGAGATGGGGCTATGCTAAGTAGATTTCCCAGCATTTTCCCGTCATTTTCCCTTTTCCATCATTTTCCATCATTTCACAACATTTTCCCATGAATTCCCATCATTTTCATTGATTTTCCCATGGTTTCCCATCATTTACCCAGGATTTTCTCATGACTTCCCATGATTTCCGCGAAATCTTCCCATCATCTGCCCATCCTCCAGGGCAAACAGCAAGCCGCACCTGGGACATCATCTCGAGCTGAGTGAAGGACGTCATTTTCGGAACTTCCCAAGGTGGGGCGGACGCCTGGACGGGTCTTTCACGAGGTCAGCTCTTAGTTAGTCCCACTTGAAGATTCGTAAATCATCTTCATGGGCCATGTTACATCATGTTACCCTCTGGTAAATTAACATAGACCCTGGCAGATAGGGGTTGGAAGATTAGTCTCCATTAAAAATTGGTGATTTTCAGGGTCTATGTTTATTTACCAGAGGGTATATCATGTTTCCATGCTCTCCCCAGATTCGAATAGTTGAGCGATTTCTGCTTGGTGGTTCCCATCTACAACCAACAAGTTGCACACGTTTCCTTCCAGATTTCAACTGCAAATCTGGATGGATTTTGATCTCAAAAATGCCCCAGCCTGGATAGAATGCTAGGTGCGAGGCTTAAAGTCGTTGAGCCAAGGAGGGCAACGTGGTAACGGTTGCGGCTTCTGTACTGCACAGTACAGGGTTCAACATTTAACTTCCACTTTGGAAGAATTGAGAAAAAAAAACATGGTGTCTTGTTTTCAGTTGCAGGTTGAGGCTAAGTTGATTTTGATGTTTTGAACCTAAATATTATCAAGAAATACTAGAAACAAGGCAGGAAATTGGATACATATGCTCCATCCACACGGGCTGGCGGGTTCGTGTTCTTGGCAAACTGGAATCGTTTGGGA